TATTTTCTTTTTGAGTTGTTTGCTATAGTAGCCTTTACAGTTACATGTACCTAATTTCAGATTCAATAGAGCATGAAAGACAATTAAATTTGCAACATCAACATATTTTTTTTTCGTTCTGAGCACTTTTGGACGCCACCAATGGAGACAATTAGGGAGAAATTTTTGAAATTGAACTTTCTGTCTTTCAAATTGAAAATCTCAGGTTGATATTTTGAAACATACATTTGTGACATCAGTCTGGGTAGCTGCAGATCTGTAGCGTTATGGTTTTATATATTTGTCTTTGACCATAACGCTACAGATCCTGTAATGCAAAAAAGGTGCAATATACGGCACAATATTTTTTGCGCGCTTTTGGGGAGAATTTCTCCACTTTCAAGCATTGGTCAATCAATTACCTTTCACTCCCTAATTCTAGACACATTCTGTAGCCAATATGTATATTTTATACACCTCCCAACCCTTTATACTCGTCTCTACAAGTGATAGACTCGCTTGATTAAAATTATTTGTTAGATTGCTGAAAATTCACTTCTAGCGACTTAATTGCCTGTAGAGACAACTACAAATGGTTGAAAGGTGGATAAAATATACATATTGGCTACAAAATGTGTCTAGAATTAGGGAGTGAAAGGTAGTTGATTGACCAATGCTTGAAAGTGGAGAAATTCTCCCCAAAAGAGTGCAAAAAATATTGCGCCGTAAATTGCACCTTTTTTGCATTACAGGATCTGTAGCGTTATGGTCAAAGACAAATACTAGTATATAAAACCATAACGCTACAGATCTGCAGCTACAGTCTGGGATGTTATTGGTTTTACCATTTAGTTAAGTACTACAAAAGTCAATGTGTCTGCTTCTTCGCTGATGACATTGGGGGTCCACCCCAATAAAAACAATCCAGCCCATATATTTTTTTCACGTGCGCAGATCCTTTGATCCGCGCACATAGATCGCTAAACAAGTAGCAATTAATGAGAGCGGATCAAAGGATCTGATTTTAATCAGATTGCTTCCTAAGTTAACTTATTCTAGAATAAATTTGATAGACTTCACTATAAGTCGTACAAAGAAAAGCAAAAATGATAAAAGTACAACTTGCCAAGTGAATTTTCATGTATCAACAAATTGTGTAATGCATGAACACAATAAAATAATTTTATATGAACTTTTTTAAGAGTGTAAGGGGATTTTTTTCTTTCAAAAATTTTCTCTTGGGGGGAAAAAAACAATATCTGCTACTGGTTTCTTGTAATAGTCGTTTGTCTTGCTGCCTCTAATATGTTTGAATTTTAAAAGTTCGACATGATGCTATTATCCGAGGTTTGCAAAATGGATGTTGATAGACAATTTCGCGGGATTTGGACCCGGACTACAATTAGCTTACATGTACATATATATAGACTTATATAGTAAAAACATGTGTTTTGTTTTCTTTGTAACTTTTTGAAAAAGATTCATTTCCAAAATATTTTTTAACGCATGACAGAGTGTCAGATAGATATTCACATAAAAATTGGGGTGTTCAATGTGGAAATCCTTGGTTATTAATAAACTTCTGACGTCATGACCTCCGAATAGCTCTCGCTTGGCTTAAAATGTGTAAACAAACCAAATGACCTCTCATTTCAATACATATTTCTATGCATAATTTATGCTTGAAATGCACCTTGATGCATATCATTGTAAACTTTTGACATTAAACTTTTATTATATACCCAGAAAGTTTCACAAACGTGAGCATGTTTTTATTTTTATCATTGAAAGGGAGGCATGCGAATTTCCTTTATGTGCTACTTTTCAGGCTTTTGACCTTCACTCTATTATTGTGGCCCTGATCCATTTACGTTTCTATGATAGTACAAAAATAATGATGACGTAGAAAAACTTGCGCGCCATCTAGCGTTAATTCAGGTAATATATGTTTTTTGCGCGCCATCTAGCGACAATTCAGTGAATAATCGTTGGTTTTGCATTGGTGATTGTTGGTTTCACATCGGAGTCTGTTGATTTTGCAAACGAGTCTGTTGATTTTGTTTTTAAGGTTGTCTGTTTTGTATTTCATTATGTTTATAAAATTAGTTGTTAGTTTTGCATAAACGTCTTTTTTACCCTTTCCGCCGCCCATAATGATCTTTAAATAAAAGTCTGGCACGTCTATTTCATATTTGGATATTTTTACTAGGAGAGAGACATTAACAACAAAACTTTATTATAAACTTCTAAATATGACTTCAACTTTTCTACGGTTATATACTAGTATATCCTTTTATCTACGTGTATTTAGCAATATACCCTTATCGCCTGCGTATATGGAGTTTCTTTATTTCAATTGATTCAATAGGCGAAATCGTATTCTGCATTAGTACATTTTTTTAATTGAGGCTAGCTATGGACAAACAAGTTGATGAAACGAAAATATTAACAGTCTCATTTAAAGTCAACATCTCATAAATTCTATGGTCGACACAAATGACCTTCATTACAAGTACTCTCTTTCATTAAGTCGATTGCTGAATCAGGTTTTTCATAATAATTGTTATAGAGACCATGATTTATACACTGAAACTACTACGGATTTTTCCGTTTGTCCGGTCATGACGTCATACGGTGACGTGTCCGTTCGACAGGAGGTGCTTACTCTTCCACGGCACCCGATCCCAACCTTGATGCGTTCTGTATCTGCTTCCGATTTGATCATTTCTGTTATTTAAATGGTTTTTTCTGATTTTGATTACTGTTCGTTATCCCTATATTTCATCAGTAAAACTCAATTGAGCCTTTGGCACACGTTAAAAATGTGGGCATAATTGCTTTTTTGTTCTGCCATCTAAGGTCTTAATTGTCAACAGGTTCTCATCTTATGGTATACATACTATAATCTCATCTTACCCTGCTCCATTTTGAAGTTCTAATTTCAAAGGGATCCAAGACATGACACTTAACAATACTTGGAAAACAATTTAACCTTAGTTTCTGACATGTGTCAAAGCGTTTGTTTTCATGCATGGCCGTGGGAACCGGGGAGGGGTGAGGGAAATTTAGCAACTGTATGCTTGTGCCCTCTCAATAAAAACGTCTCATGACCTTTTTTGGCTTGTCAATGTATTTTTGGTAGTCGATAGTGCCCCTCCAACTGAAAATGATTGGCTGTGCCCCCCAAACTGAAATTGCTTTCCTACGCAGTATACTGACCTATCATGGAAATTTTCTAAGAATCTATATTATAAAGTATCATTTTGTTCCTCCTGTTTTCCCATCGTTAAGAATACATGTGTACCGAGGAAAAAAAAGGGGAGGGTGAGCTCAGTGTTCCCAGTACCTCTAGTTTTAGTCTGATGTCGCAGTACCTCTAGTCCTCTAGCTCTTTAAGAAAATCATAAATTAAAGGACAAAAAAAGCTTTACGTGTGCACCTTAGAAGCTACAATGAAGCGCATTGAAGTGGTAAAATTTTCCTTTTGGACGAAAAGTTCTGAGTCATGTTTTGAACGTCAATTATAACATAACGACACGCCCATTTCTTTAGAAACGAGAAAGACATATTCATCGTAATGTTTTAGGACACAACACTTTCCGCGACAAGCAACATGAGTTACACTGAATGAGGAATTTCAGAATAAGAAAGAGCTATGTATAAGTTCTCGCTTATGTAAAACACGCATTGCAACGAATTTGTACATAATTATGATTTTATCATGCTTATTGGAGTTAGCATAGCACATGTATCAGTCGAACACGTGCTTACTCGGTGTTTATGTAAACCGTCAATTTCATTGGATGTTATATTTATGAAAAACCTGTTCTACAGGTATTCGATTGAATCATTTGACCGATTTCTCCTTTCTAAAGAAATGGGCGTGTCTAAAGATAGCTCAAAACGTTCCATCCAAACAGAAAATTTTACCACTTCAATGCGTTTCATTGTATATGTTTGAAGTATGAAGCCTAATGTCCTCTTGTTATAGTCTGAGCATTTTCCTTAACTTGACTTTGATTGACAAAATTATGAGTCCAGGTGATGAAGTTCAAATTATTTTACAATCATTGTTCGAGGTCAATGTTTCAAGTCTACATGTCAAAGACTTCATTAGTTATATAGCCCGCATTTTGTTTATTCGAACTTAAATTAAGAAATAAGTCGAGATAAAAAAATAAAATAATTGTGCATTATCTCATATTATTCTATTGATGGAGCAACATAAGTACGATCGAACTCCTTTAAACTATGCTAATGGAGGTTAATTGAATGTATACCTAGTAAATGAAAGAATGGCAAGAATGTCTTAATTCTTAAATGCGCAATCTATTTATTAATATTTTTATTTAAAAACGTCCAAATATTTTTTCTCAAAGCATGTACGCATTATTTCGTGTTAAAGGAAATATAATAAATGTATAAAATGCAAACATGTATTAAGTGGGGAGTGATTATTAGATATGCAAGGTGTGATATCGTTAATTTCTCCTGAGCTCTCGCCAGTCTCGGTTAGATAAATAGCATGGACTTTTGACCCCAGGAGACAGTTGACCGCTGTTTGATATCGAAACGCACACGAAGAACAGATTCTTTTGCCAAAAGCTGAAACTGATGACATTCTTTATACGCACTGGTTTTCTGATATATTCCATCGTGAATGCAGATGTATCAAGTATAATTAAGGACATCCTCCGCGTCCAAATAGATCATTCGAAACTCACAGGTGATAACGCTAAGAAAGACTGCTTTGTGAAAGATGATATAGCATGGAGAGAGAGAGAGAGAGAGAGAGAGAGAGAGAGGAATCAAAATATGATATGCTTTTAATATGGTATACATATATAATGGATTTTATTTATTTATGACTCCTGCAAAGAAACATACTAAATCAGCTTAAATTATAGATATTTATCTACATAAACTCTTACAACTTTGAAGGAATTTGGAATGTATATATATATAGTTTACTAATCACGGGTTATTTTGCGTTTCCGGATTTTGCAACGGTCTGGTTTGAAAATTATACTCTCCTTGTCTTAGCAACGTTGTAGCGACACCGTTTCATGTGGAAAAATCGCCATTGTAAATCAAGTTTTAAAGAACTTTAAAAACTTGAAAGATGGCACAGGGGGATCCTATGAAGTGGCATATGCCTGGCTGGAGAATAGAACAGCGGTTTTCACCTGGCGTATTGATAGGAAATTGGGGAGAGGAAAGATACACGGTAAGTTTCCCGCAACATAAAATTACACGCCAAAAGTGCAGCTGTCATCTGATTTTTCCTTATTTCATATGTGATAAAAAGGGATATCTTTAAGAAAATTTAATGTCCCCTTTCTCTTTCTATGTATTGTCAAAAACTAAGCATATTTAAATGCAAGTAACCCCCCCCCCCCCCACCTGACTAACCGCAGTAAAAATACATTTATTAAAATGTATCTAATGTATTTATGCGACACAAATGAGATGTCACATGAATGTTTTTACTTTATTTACACCTTTGCATTTATAGTTCAAGAAAGGAGATACAAAACATAACAGCACACACAGAGTTGACTTCAGAAACTATGGAACATACAAGCCAGATGTCATAGTTCGACGAAAGGCTTTAATGAGAAATGATGGACTGGGGCAGGAACATATTTTCCACCACCATGGAGAGAAGTACAATCAGAACAAGATCTCGTGGTATGATGAGCAGTACAATGGCCGATACAAAGAGAACACACTACCATCCTTACGTGACTGGAACAGTCACAAGCTCTCCTGGGCACCAGAGAAATCCGATTATCCCCTACAGGGTATAACTCTAAACTTTTTCATAAAATTGTATGGGTTTTTAGATACCAGTAATCAAGGATTTAAGGGAACATATCTTTGCTAGGCAAGGGTTTTTGCTGTGCTCCCCAGTATCCCTAGCAGCCATTGTCTCTCACTTTGATGATGAAAGGTTATGTCAAAAGCTTAATGTATAAAGTCTTATGCCTATATATATATATATTTTTAATTATCAATGTGAGAAATAAATACTTATTACTGATACATTTGTGTTTGGAAATTGAACTTAATGATATATCGATTTGTGGTCCTTTATCTTTCTTTCTTTGATGATGATTGGCATAATGTCAAACACTCAGCTGCATTGTCTTCCAAATTTAAACCTATATGTCAGTATATAAAATTGTTAGTTGTAATTTAAATTGATAATTTAGAATTTGAGCCTAAATTGTATTTTATTCCTTCACAATTGACAGGTAAGGCCACAAACTTTGGACTGCATGAGCAGCTACAATCCAAATGGAAGGACCAGATCGCAGATGAAGTCAAGGGAGATTACTTGTCTACCTACCAGAATTCCTATGTAGGACCCCCCAGAGAGAATCTGGTCAGGAATAGGTTTGCCATTTCTAAAGATATGTCTACAACTTTACATCCATACAACAAAGTCAACAAAGACCTTCACTTGAGAAACACAGTAGCATTCAAATCACCCGAAAAACTCCCCGACTTAGTATACACATAAAACTTGTAGTGGTCTTTACTTTCAATGAATGTTTTTTCCCCTAATCATGTAATACTCATTTTAAACTGTCTCTCCTTAATATTTTCCTTCATCATCCTTGTTTCTAAAATGATAAGAAATTTATGTATTAATTCATTTTTTTTCATTAAAGAACTCTTTCATTTCTGTTATAATTCTGTCACACTCGTCCAGTATGTCCCATATACTTGTCTAAAATATACCATATTAAGATAGCTATTGTACTATTTCTAGTCTCTATAAGTGGTTAAATAGTACTTGACAAAATGTATATATTTTTATGTGGCATGTTTTGTTTTTGCATCTGTCTGCTAGCCTAGGCATTGATAGGTTTAGAGATTATATAGTTAGTTAAGTTTGCAGTATTAAACTTCAGTATTGTATTCGTGCCAATGTATATATCTGCTGGTTGTTAATTAAATCATATTGTGTAAATTCTCAAAACATGCACATTATATTAATTGTTAAGTTTCATGACATTGGTGAACTTATGAGCAGAGTGACTTGGGTTTTTATTAATAAGTCTTGAACGGTCAATCCATGACAGTATTTTTAATTTTGGAAATGTGATTTATAAATACATTTTATGTGATACATTACATAAACCAGAGAAGGCTCAATGAAATATACTTTACATTTGCGGTGATAGTGTATCAGTATTTCTTTAAACCAAGTATTATACATTTTTGTATGGAATAACATATTGTTCTGAATCAAATTTGGAAGAGAATGAAGTACTTCTGAATTCTCGCAATCTTATAATACATGTACAGATCACATAAAAAAATTTTGTTATACTTTTAAGTTAATTAATATATATTTATTAACTGCTGATTAACAGTTATTTTTTAATTCCAATGATAATGTTGAAAACAATTATGGAAATATAATTTTTTTTACAGTATAAATATACTACCGGTACATTTATATCCACAATTTTACATAATCTTACTTCTTTTTGATTTGTATATTCCTTTTTTGTAGCATACATATTTCTGTTTTGTAAGGGTTTACTATTGTTATATAATTCCATACAGTATTTCAAACATTTATAACAATTTGTTTGCAACCTGTTTGTTTTATGTGCTTTATAAAATGCACCTCAAACATTAAAGTGTTTTCATTATACATACAGAAATTGTATTTTTATTTTATCTTATTTTTTTGACTTTATTCATTCGAACAAAAATCAAACAACCAACAGCACAATAAGAGGATCACAATGCTCAGCTACTTTGAATTATTATTTTTTTTTTTTGCTGCCCATAAAATCCCAATTCCAGCACCATCGTAGGCCATCTGTTGAAGTATCATGTGTCTGCATGACTTGACCAAATTTGAATCTTACTTCATAAGGATACTTGTACATATTTATTATTTTACAGTGTAAAATTTTTTTGGGGCATAAAATTCCTTTATAAAACCTGGTCCCAATTTTGTGACCCATTCCAAGTCCTAGGTTTTACAATTTGAACAAATTAAATGGAAATAGTGGTGCCCCCGTGTCCATAATCTGAATGCTATAGACATCAGTCTACAATTTATGACTTTTTACTGAAATTTCAGCTTTTGGCCCAGTAGTTGTTGAGATGTTTCTTGAATGACCAGACATTTGCACCTATTTTTTGTTTCCTTTTTAATTAACATAAGACTTGATCTTTTAGTTGAACAAACTGTAACTTTCTTCATCCAAGGATGATTTGCAGCAAGTTTGGTTGAAACTTTATATCTTTAAAAATGAAAAGTTTCCATATAGAATATAGTTACAGAACAGACTTTATTAAGAAAAATTGCAATTAATTCTGTGTTAGGAACCTGTTAAACTAAAAGAGAAATTGCTTAAATATCAACTTAACTATCACAATTTACCAGTAATAAGATAAATGATTAATCAAACCAGTTTTTTTTATAGAAACTAGTAAATAAATACCCAGTAGTATCAAATGTAAAAATTTTAGCTGAACAAACATGCATCTAATTAAGACATAATTTATTTATCTTAATAAAAATACATGTATCTCAAATATTTTCCACTTTATCAAAAAGATAACTTTTATACTGAAATGTCCTGCTGCATAAAAGTAAACAACGATAAGGGGAGGGGGGGTCTTCTGATCAATAAAAGTTAAATATGGATGCTAAAAACTTTGTAATTTTTGACTGATCAATATTTGGTGAAATGACACAGGTACATGTACCACAATGGAGACTTGAGTTGACTCAGAATCAAGGCATCCACATCATCCATAACCCAAGTTAGAGCCAAAAAAAAATGTGTTCCCCCATTTCTTCTTTTTTATACAAATATGGACTTGAAAAAAATTTGGCACTTCTAATCTTATATTAGGTCAAGGTCATAGCTAATAATCTAATCATATTTTTTTCTGGCAAGTATTAACTCCCAATATGTCTGCACTGCAGGACCAGACTTAGCCGGGAATTACTAGTATTTCCCATTCTCCTGGGGAATATGATTATTTGATTACTGAGTATTTCCAGATTTTTGCCAACTCAGAAACAAGAGTCTGTCATTACACATTCTTTGGATATATGCTTTATGTTAACTTGAAAAGTTGTGAACTGGGTTAAAATTGTACATTGAAAGCAAGGAAAGAGATGGACCAATCAAAATAGGTGCTCCCCTGGGACCTTGCAATAAAAAAAAACACACACACTTGAAATACAATATTATAAATTCACTGGGTATTTTGTATTAAATGACAATTAAAAAGGCAAAGAAATGGATAATGCTGATTATGCATGGTACTTGAATCTTCCTTTTTTTGGCAGGAACAGTATTTAGCTGCATAAATAAGACTCTTTACTGAATAATCAATTTTGATTTTGCATCAAATATAACTATCAACAAATTAAAGAATGTAATGCACATCTGTATATCTTTGGAGTTCTGATAAGTTACTATTACATCTTGATTAAATAAATAAATAAATGATATTGACAACATTGAGCACTATTTGACCATTAATCATCCCAAAAACTAGTGTTCCATAGATGCTCATAAAAAAAATTGTGTTCTCAAAAAACAAATTGGATTTCGTACCTGAGAAAAATATTTTGTGCTACTGTATATAGCAAACAGGGCTTAATGGCAACAAATCAATGCACAATCTTTCCAGTGTTATACAAAAAGGCCATGTTGTTGAACATATCTCAGGTTTCTCATATTTGTGATAATTTTTGGTTTTTCAAACCACATAAACTAAGTTTATACAACAATAAATTATATATATATTAAACAACAATAAAGAAAAAAACGGAGATCACATCAAGAAAAGGCTTGTAGCAAGCACAAAAAAAAAGATCACAACGATCACACATGAACACAATGGCATCAGTGGTATAAAGGATAAAAAAGGTCATTAGAATAAGGATGTTCCTCACACTGCTCTTAGATCCGGCCAAGAGCTGACTCGAATTTTCCTCTGAGATCCATCGAACACTTTGTCAAACCAGTCTATCAGTCCATCTAGAAGTTCCTCTACGAGTATAACTCGTGAGTCCTGGTCGCTGTCCGAGTTTTCATCCGAGTCAAACATTCCAATGGCACTAGGAATATTCTTCCCACTTTGCCTAATCCACTTTCTAGCCTTCTTGGGCTGGTATATATAGTAGTATTTACGCATACCATTCACAGCTAACACTGTGCCTATACAGTTGTTAATGTTTATGTTCTTTAGTTCCACTTTATGTCCCACACTGTCCTCCAGTAAGTGAGAGTACCAACCAATGTAGCTCTCCAGTCTCAGAAAGGCAAATGACAGACCACTGTATCTAAAATAGTACAAGTACTTACACAACACACTGTGTAATAATACATGTATTACATATATACATAAATTATAAATCTCTGTAAATCCTTTAGTTCAGTTGATCACAAGGTAAAAATATACTGAGAATTTCATTTATAAGCAAACTAAGTAATCTATACAAGTACACATACTCGTTCAGCAAATCTTACACTTAACAGATGCAAGTTTAATCCTTATAAGTGAATATTTTCAGAAATTTTAAAATCAAGATCTGATGCTCAATTTTTGAATGGCTTACCTGGTCAGAGGGAGAACAATTTCTTTGTACTTATTGAGAAGTTTATCCCCAGATTCGTAGTTGACCAGTAAAATCATAGTCAGTCCAGCCTCAGAGTTCAGAACGAGAGTGTCGTATGTGTCAGGCGTCAGTTCATACAGGTTTACTCTCTTCTGGTCTGGAGTCCTAAAGTACAAAAAAAAAAATCATATATGAATTTAATCAAAAATAATTTTTTTCAGAACTTGTATCTTTTTCAATTGCAAGGTTAATACAATCACTACATGTATTTTTTTCATGTTCAACACCTTCCTAAATACAGATATTCAGTCTAACTGCTGCATGACTAGACACAAATGACTTATCAATTTTATAAAATCAAGAGCTTTCAGACCTTATTTGAAAAACTTGCAAAAAGTCTAAATTATTGCTGAAGTTTACCAATCTACATGTACCATTTATCTGATAAGAAATTGATAAAAAAATGAAATTCCTTAAATCATTTTAGCTATACAATTTCATGAAAAAGTTTAAACAAACATAAATATACTTTGTACAGTAAAGTTCTCAAACAAGTGCAGCTCAGGTGAGCTAAAAATATAATACAGTGAAACCTGTCTAATTTGACATGCTCTCGGAGACAAATTTTATGTCGAATGGACAGGGTGTCGCATTGCACAGTATACTAAAATGGAAAGTAGTGAAATGGGAAAGAAAAATGCTGCCAAAATTAACAGTGTGTCGGATTGCACAGGTGTCTGATTAGCAGGCTTGGGGTCAATTACTTTGAAATGTAATTAATTACTTTCAAATACATTGATAATTTTGTCAATTACTTGCAATTACAATTACATTGATTTTTTCAAATGTAATTAATTACTTTCAATTACTTTGACCAATGTAATTAAATACATTTCAATTACTTCGGGTTTTATTTTTATAAAAAAAAATAAAGATTTTTTTAAATAAGATTTTTTCTTAAGCGTCGAATTCGGACTTTCATTCAGTGTTTTTGTTCTTGGGTATGATAGGGGTTCACACCTGGTCAAAATTAGACCTTTACCTTATAATGAGTGTGACACTCTGTATAAACAAATTAAACATTATGAAACAATTATATTACAAACATAAGCCCATGCTACACCTGTCCAGTATGGTGTATGGCAAGATCTTTTTTGTAATTTTCTCAAATCCATATTTTTTAAGGAAATAAATAATATCTATCACAATTCCATTCATTATTTTCTATCTGAAAATGAATAGAATACAGGTAAATCTAAAAGGGGATGTAGTTAGTCTAATTGCTGTAAAACAAATTAACTATCTAAACTATCATTGTTATTTGCAAGTGGAAATAAGGAGAACTGATCAAACATGGGAATAAGTAATATAAACCCAACAGTATAAAACTATATACATGTACATGTATATGTATCAGTATAAGACACCTTTTTAAATATAAACTTTAATTTTGAAAAAAGTAATTGAAATGTAATTGAAAAGTAATTGAAAATACATGACCTTTTTTGAAATGTATTTAAATACATTCAATTACTTGTAATTGAAGGCTCGCTCAAATACAAATTACTTCCAATTACTTTGAAAAATGTAATTAATTACACTCAATTGCAATTACTCTATTCAATTACCCCATCCCTGCTGATTAGACAGTTTTCACTGTAAATAAATCATTTCTGTTGATAAGAAGGTTCAGATTTGGAATTTTATACAGGTGTTAAATATTTTGTCTTACCTGGACGGGGGTCTGGGTCAGACCTTACCTGGACGGGGGTCTGGGTCTGCTCTTACCTGGAGGGGGGTCTGGGTTTGATCTTATAAAGGGTAATAATCTTACCTGGAGGGGGTCAGGGTCACACACTGGACGGGGGTTGATCTTACCTTAAAAAATTTCTCTTCAACCTGGAAGGTCTTATCTGGAGGGGGGTCAGGGTCTGATTTTATCTGGACGGGGGTCTGATCTTACCTGGACGGGGGTCTGGGTCTGATCTTACCTGGACGGGGGTCTGGGTCTGACCTTACCTGGACGGGGGTCGGGGTCTGATCTTACCTGGAGGGGGGTCAGGGTCTGATCTTACCTGGACGGGGGTCTGGGTCTGATCTTACCTGGACGGGGGTCTGGGTCTGATCTTACCTGGACGGGGGTCTGGGTCTGATCTTACCTGGAGGGGGGTCTGGGTCTGATCTTACCTGGAGGGGGGTCAGGGTCTGATCTTACCTGGACGGGGGTCTGATCTTACCTGGACGGGGGTGTGTTTATATTTTTGTCTTGTCAATTAACATGGAATGATCTTACCTGGACGGGGGTCTGGGTCTGACCTTACCTGGACCTGGGTCGGGGTCTGATCTTACCTGGAGGGGGGTCAGGGTCTGATCTTACCAGGACGGGGGTCGAGGTCTGATCTTAAAATGATCTTACCTGGATGGGGGTCGGGGTGATCTTACCTGGATGGGGGTCTGTTATCTTACCAGGACGGGGGTCGAGGTCTGATCTTATCTGGAGGGGGATCGGGGTCTGATCTTACCTGGATGGGGGTCGGGGTCTGATCTTACCTGGATGGGGGTCGGGGTCTGATCTTACCTGGACGGGGGTCGGGGTCTGCTCTGTCTGGGCTGTCTCTCCCTCAGCTGCTCCTCCTCAATCTGCGCCATGGTAGACATAAAGTAACCCATACCAAACACCATAGCAATAGCCATAAACAGGGTCAGGACTGTCACAGGGTCCATACTACAGACAAATGGAAAATGTAGTTAATGTATAAATATAACCCATACCAAACACCATAGCAATAGCCATAAACAGGGTCAGGACTGTCACAGGGTCCATACTATAGACAAAGACAAAATGTAAAAAGAAAAAAGTGAGCTAGCTCACATACCCCACGCTCCCCCAAAACTTGACGGTGTAACACATAATGAAAGGCACAGTGCACTTTAAATACATATTATAGATCAAAAAGGGCAATAATTGCAAAAAAATCTTCACATCAAAATGTCTTGCATATGAGGACATTTAAATGTGGAATGAAGTTTCTAGATAAATAATGGAATCAAAATTTCTTGGCATTATACAAATCCAAACATTAATCTGAAGTGGTTGGAGGGGGGGGGGGGGGGGGGGGGGGGGGGGGGGGGGGGGGGGGTGAGAAATTTTCTTGAATAATAGGCAAAACTCTTTGGGATAAAATAATGGAATATGTCCTAAATATCTGCATAGGTTGACGAAACTATGTACAAAAGTTTAAGAGGAGTGGTGCTAACAAACTGTTCATCTTTATATTCAAAATATGGCCAAAAAGTCTAAGTTGGAAAGTGTGGAAATTCCCGGAAAAATAAAGGAATCGGAATTTCCTGGTAATATGCACATCTACACATTGTGTCCTTAGTACTTGCAAAGTTTAACGAAATTCTGTGCAGCGGTTTATGAGGAGTTGTGCTGACAAACTTATCATCTCTATGTAAGAGGTATGGCCAAAAACCTAAGTTAAAAAGTGCAAAAAATCCCAGAAAAAATAAAGGCATTGGAATTTCCTGGTAATATGCACATCTAAACATTGTGTCCTAAATACCTGCAAAGCTTGACGAAATTCTGTGCAGTGGTTTATGAGGAGTTGCGCTGACAAACTGTTCATCTCTATGTAAGAGGTATGGCCAAAATCCTAAGTTTTTAGTGCGAAAAGTCCCAGAAAAAATAATGGAATCGGAATTTCCTGGTAATATGCACATCTACATATTGTGTCTTAAATATCTGCAAAGTTTGACGAAATTCTGTGCAGTGGTTTATGAGGAGTTGCGCTGACAAACTGTTCATCTCTATATTCAAGGTATGGCCAAAAACCTAAGTTAAAAAGTGCGGAAAGTCCCGGAAAAAATAACGGAATCGGAATTTCCTGGTAATATGCAGATCTACACATTGTGTACTAAATACCTGCAAAGTTTGACGAAATTCTGTGCAGCGGTTTATGAGGAGTTGCGCTGACAAACTGTTCATCTCTATATTCAAGGTATGGCCAAATGCCTAAGTTAAAAAGTGCAGAAATTCCCGGAAAAATTAATGGAATCGGAATTTCCTGGTGATATGCACATCTACACATTGTGTCCTAAATACCTGCAAAGTTTGACGAAATTCTGTGCAGCGGTTTATGAGGAGTTGCGCTGACAAACTGTTCATCTCTATATTCAAGGTATGGCCAAATGCCTAAGTTAAAAAGTGCTGAAATTCCCGGAAAAATTAATGGAATCGGAATTTCCTGGTAATATGCACATCTACACATTGTGTCCTAAATACCTGCAAAGTTTGACGAAATTCTGTGCAGCGGTTTATGAGGAGTTGCGCTGACAAAAAAAAGAGGACTGACTGACGGACTGACTGACTGACTGACTGACTGACTGACTGACTGACGGACGGGTCAAAAACATTATACCTCCCGCAACTAGTTGCGTGGGGTATAATTAATGTATAAATATAACCCATACCAAACACCATAGCAATAGCCATAAACAGGGTCAGGACTGCCATAGGGTCCATACTACAGGCAAAGGGAAAATGTAATTATTTTACAATGCCTCTAGCAAAACAAAATGTGTAAAATGGAAAATTACCCCCCCCCCCCCTTTACTTAAAAGATTTATTTAGGGAAAAACAGGAACACTGTCAAATCATCCTGGTTTGTGATAATAATTTCATATACACTGTACTGTGCACATAAGACAAATTAAATCGCAAATTTAACACCCCCCCTCCAACCCATCCCCCATACCAACATCATCGGAGTTCCGGGTCTCTGATACTGAAAAGAAATCAATTTTCTCCTTATTTACCTACCTTGTTACAAATAACCACAGTCTTTCTCCCCAGTGTTGAAATCGATGAAAGATTCGAACTAAAAGATGCTGCAAAGAAAAAATAAAATGTCAGATTTAAAGTCCAGCAAAGCAATGAATATGCACAATATTTATTGAGAAATACATGTAATTACATCCTAACATGTGTACTTTTTCTCTCACAATCAGTATTTAAAGAAGTACTGGTGTAAACCAAGTAACTTCACCTTGAGGATAAACAAGTTCAGATTAGAAATGTTCTCTCTACCAGAATATGCAGATCAGACTCTGATTCAATATGACGTAAAAGTATAGCTGATAGTCTCTGGTCATTAACTGAATCATGTTGTCTTTCTCTGATTTACATTAAGCATATTAAATGGTACATTTGGTTGGGGTAGTCTACTGTGAAATCAGTAGCAGTAATATAAACATGGTCAATGAGTCTCACATTTAAAGAGTATACATCACACTAGAACCTTTGTAATTCTATTAAGTAAAACAACATTCCATGTAGAATGGTTGAAATACTTGATATTCAAACTTTGCATTTTTAATTTTATTTGTCAAATTCATCTTATTAAATCATAATTAAAATTAGAATTAATTTTTGTTTTTTAAATAACAGCAATGCTTCCCATATCGCGACAGAAGCACACCTGTGTTAAACCTTTGAGATACATGACCATTACACAGAAGTGCCTTTAGCAGGAACTTGTTTAAACATAGAATAAATACACTGGATTTTTTGTTGTTGTTGTTTATTATTCTTGACTACCAGTAATAATCTTATAACTGACACTTTATTTTATTTCTGAAAATGACTTTCAGGGGGATATGTTAAATTGGAATGTGACCTATCATAGAAACACATGCCACACTGACCACAGTGATCGATATAAAAATACAGATTGTATTATCTTTGAAGCAAAAATTGAATATAAATTAAATCAAAGTGCTTAAGAATTACAATTTTACTATTTTTTTCCCCAAACATCTTTTAAGACTTGTAAGTGAATCCTTACCAAAGCATGTTCATTATGAAATTCAGGCAGTATGGTTCTGTAGGTCAGAGACTCATCAGAATTTAACAACTGTTTAACCCTCATTTCCAGTTCTTTCTGGAGATCATGCATGTCTGAATCTTTTGTTAGGGCATTCTTCAGCCATTCATAACTCAGATGGTTCTTCTCTACTCTCCAGATGATAACCACATTCTGTACAAAACAAAATTAACCTCTTCTCACAATTATTGATCACTGAAAAGTTGACAAGAAAACAATGAAAAAAAGAGTATGTCAAAATATATTCTTAGTTTCATATTCATATACATTTGTAAGATACTATAAATCACTTTTTATTTGCGAGAACTTTATTTGTCAAAGCTTAATCAGAATTTAAGTGTGCTGTGAAAATTTAATTTCCGTATAATATTATTCCTTAAGATTATATAGAGCAATAACCACAATTCATGAAAATTTTGTCTCGCAATTAAGAGTCAATGACTATTGAAAAGAAAAAATGAAAAAAAAGTGTCAAAATATATTTAGTGATTTGATATAGAGAGCTCTCTGGAGCTCTCTTGAATCTTTCAGGTGCATTAAAAATAAATGCAAAATTCAACTGTTTCTGAGCCTAACTTTTTATATAAGAATTATCCATATCTACAAGGATGTTAAAGAAATTGATAGAAAACTCCTCACTGACAATAACCCCCTACCTTTTCTGCTCCACTGCTATCTGATTCCTCGTTCTCATTCAGGGTTTTGATGATGTTGGCCTGAGTTTCTTCATACATGTATGTGAACCTCACCCTCTCATGGTTTAAGAAGGAAGACTTCTGCAGATATCTCCTGAATTTCGTCCTCTCATTCTCTTCACTCTTTTTGGTAATAAGCACCACACATAACCTGGAGATAATCCATCATTATTTGCTATTGTGGAATAACAATTACATATCAGACCTGATTTTATATTTTTGACCCAGAGATGCATATGTACATATGTGCATTCTATAAATACTATTAATCCTTGCAAGAGAATTATATGTCAGTTATCAAAAAATATCATGAGAACTGTTTAAATTTAAAAAAATCTAACTACATTTATATGTTTTAATACTTTTTGTTCAGTGTATTAATGAATTTGCATGGGCCTTACTTTTTGCGTTTGGCTTTCAATTCTGCTGGACAAAGCTGCTCAAAATAAGTCTGTGAAGAAATCCGTGGCAGTAAGAGAAACTTGTTTGACTCAATGACTTCATCAATGGTAGAACGCGACATCTGCTGCATCTGTTAATACAGAAATCATAACAAGTTAAAGTGTCATTTTGGAATCTTTAAATATGTGTACAGGTGGAAGTATACATCCTACACCATTGTGAAATATTGTTTTAAAATTTATTTATCAACAGTGTATAAGTTAATTTCACTGTTTATATTTTTGCTCCAAAATATAGGAAGGATTGGCATTTTCAATAATAAAAAAACTTTTGAAAACAATTTGAAAATAAATAAGCTATATTTGAATGATAAAATAAAGAAGGAACTAAAAAAAATACAATCATTGGAAATCTTATTAATTAACATAATATCCTCCTACACTGAGTGAAGCGACAGGAGACTGACTGTCCTCGTTGAACATTAACAGACTTTTATGTCCACTGTGAAGGTTAAACTTTCTCAGGATTTTGTACACATCATCAGAGTTGGTGTTGACATGCCCAAATGTTACAAAACTTTTGTAGTAAAAGGCTGGGGCCAAAAACAAGGCAGAAATTTCCTCCTTTGGAGAAAAGAATATTCCCCGCATGCGGTTGTCCTCCCACCCACTCAGGAAGTCATCAATGTTTCCATCGTTTATCTGTGATCAAAAATAAGATTAAAGCTACAATAAGTATATTCTAGTCCTAGAAAGGAATCATAAAAGTTATGATTACACTATCATTTTATATAATTCATGTATGAATTTGACACATTTTAGTGCAAAATCAAGCTTACAGGTTGAATTAACTTATTTGGAAAGAGCCCTCTGACAAACTGTCTGAGGTTGTGAAGCGTGACACGCCCCCTGAAGTCTGTGACACGCCCATTCAACACAGCCATTATCCTTGGAACTCGAGTAGTTCTCAATTCCACTGCCAATCGCTGTGCTTTTCCTGCATGGAATGTTCCCATACCAATTCCTAGGCAAGTTAAAAGAAAACATGAGAGAGTTTATACACCATTTTCCTTGTAAACAAGGAAGCATATCAACCTATCATATGTACATAATCGGTTGTTAACTAGAGATATTGTGAGGATATTTCAAATTAGGGAATTACTATCTTCTAATTTGGTATTTGCTACCGTTAATGCTGATTTAATGGTCGCAAACTGAGTTTTACCGGCGACACGTAGAGGATATTGTGTGTATATTTAAAATCACAAAATAATGCAATCCATGCATTTTGTTTGTTGTTTACGTCCGTTACATGTAGGTATATGAAATACGTCATGGAGCATTGTGTAGTGCCCAACGTCACAATGGAAAATTAATTGTAAAAATATGACCTTGTTTTACAAAACAATTGCATTAAAATGTCCAAACAACTAAAAATATGGTTAAAAACTTTGGTTAAAAATTGAAACATCTGGTTATAAGTAAACTGGGTGAAATATGGACATCATATAATGGTTCTGTCATAGAAGTTTACAATTTTTCTGCTTGTGGCCTCAAATTTGTCACAATGACCTCTGGTCACGTTAAGACACACCCTCAGATCAATCAGAATAATCTTTGTATGAAGTATGATATTCATTAGTTCTCTATTACAAAGCAGCCAACACAAAAATTTTATACTTTTCTTTCAGTGACCTTGAACTTGCCAAGATGACCTAGGGTTAAGGTCTATTTGAAGACACGTCCTGTGGTCAATAAACAATCTATGTACCAATTATGAGCATCAAATGATTCTCCATTAAAGTTAAATTATAACCAAGACAAGAATTGTTAGTTTTAAGCTTTTTCTTTCAGTGACCTTGAACTTTACAGAATGACTTTGGGTTAAAGTCATGACATAAACTAAGGCCATAAAAAGTCTTTGTACCAAGCAAAAGCTTCCATTGATTATCCATTAGAAAATTATAGCCTGGAAGAGATTGCATGGGCAAAAGGTAAATTTACAGGTACCTGGTATATGAAAGTTGATGTTTATTGGCAACTTAGGAACTTATTCTTACCAACAAACTCCAGTTCTTTAAACAATTTTTCAAGAACAGGCTCCAAATGAACACATTCATAGCAAAACTCAGCATAGGCATACAGAACATATGGCTTCTGGTGACTATCAGGTAATATTTTTGTTTCATAAACTCTGTAAAAGAGAAAGCATACCATATATTTTTTCTATTTACCAGTACTTTCTTTTGATAACATTGAAAAGAAAATACTGCATGAGGAATGTTCTGAGTAACTGTGGTTCTCACCTCATGTTTATGTTATTCTTCTCAATGAAAGTATCTGTAAATCCTGATCCTCCAAATTTGAAGTCAAACCCTCCAAAATGATGAAAGAATCCTTCAAATGGATCTCCAAATGGGTCACCAAATGGGCTGCCCCTGCTCTGTTGTCTGTGTTCTTTAGCTGAGGTGTAACCAAACTTGTCGTACTGACTTCTTCGTTCTGGGTCCCCCAAAGTCTTAAGACAAAAATTAGATATGGTAGCTGATATACAAATTGCATTTTCATCACTGACCCCCCCCCCCCCAAAAAAAAGAGGCCCATGGGCCACAACGCTCACCTGAGTAGCATTGGTGATGTCGTTCTTTACTAAGATGCCCCCCGGGTCACAATTTTAACAATTTAGAATCTACAGATTCTCTATTGTGGCCCCGCCCAACCCCCGGGGGTCATGATTTGAACAATTTAGATTCTACACTACCCCAGGATGCTTCCACATAAGTTTCAGCTTTTCTGGCCCAGTGGTTCTTGAGAAGAAGATTTTTAAAGTTTGTTCCAACATATTTCTATGTAAAACTTGGATTCTCTATTGTGGCCCTGCCCAACCCCGGGGGTCATGATTTTATCAATTTAGATTCTACACTACCCCAGGATGCTCCCACATAAGTTTCAGCTTTTCTGGCCCAGTGATTCTTGAGTAGATTTTTTAATGACCCCACCCTATTTTTGTATTTTCTTTATTGTCTCCTCTTGTGAGGGGTCTTGGCCCTTTATTTTAACAATTTAAAATCCCCTTTACCTAAGGATGCTTTATGTTTGGTTAAAATTGGCCAAGTGGTTCTTGAGAAGAAGTCAAAAATGTGAAAAGTTACCGGACAGACGATCGGACGACGGACAAAATGTGATCAGAAAAGCTCACTTGAGCCTTCGGCTCAGATGAGCTAAAAATTCAGCATATTTTACACTATGTTTGCAAAAACTAAATGTATTGTATTTTCTTATGCAGTTTGAATTCAGACACTTACATAAAATTTTAAAGCAAAATTCCTTTGTCATAAGAAGTAATATTTATTTTTACCTCATATGCCTCATTGATTTTAGTAAATTTATCTGCTGCTGATGGATCTTTGTTTTTGTCTGGATGCCTGTAAAATATAAACAGGTATTTTATAGAAGATTTGTAGCAAAAATTAATTAATTTTTTTCACCTCACAGCCATGTTAAATCACAAAACTGATGGAGATTAAACAACCCAAAATTTTGGCAAAGCTGCATTCAGTTGGAGCTACTGAGATCAACTTTAGATATATGTATCCCAGGAAAATTAATGTTATAGCATCAACACTTCACCATAAAAAACATCCTCTACTCTTTAGTAGCGTATATACTCTTTATGGTCATCTCTATAGGGGATAAACTAGCTAAATTTGATTGTCTGTTGGATTTCATTGTCTGTCAGATTTCAGAAACTTCAAATCAAGCCAGTTCATTGCTTGTAGAGACGACAATAAAGGGTAAGAGGTGGATGAAATATATTGGTTAAACAGGTCTGGACAATTTCCAAATATGGAAGTCAAGAACAATAACCATGAATTGCTATAAATGCACAGAATAAACAAGGTGCTTATCCTCCTGACCAATCAGATAACAGCATATAGACAAATCACCAGAAAATAAATAAAACATGTGGTTTTAAACTTTTCTGCTCAAAAGATTTTTTTAGAACAAACTTTTTGTAAACTTTATGCGTATTTAGGAATGAAACAAACAGCATAAATGACAATTCTACCATGAACAAACCTGACTTGAAAGGTTAGAATAAATTCTAACTGGGATATAAAAGCTGTCAATAAGAGGTAGCTATCCCAAAAGCTTAACTCGTGTTAAGAAATTTGATACAAATACAGCAGATTATCAGTTTTTAGAACCTGGTATGAAAATATTTTCGGATGGGAATATTTTTAACATTTTAATTATTTCCTGAGTGTTTATTACAAAGTTGTCCAGTTTCTGGTATGCATGGTAATGGTAAGTTATGGTGAAAAATCATTAATCTACATTCTCTTTTCTTGATGTTTAACACATTTTTTGAGTCCATTTCGAGAGTTTATAACATTGTATTCAGTGCTCATGAAACCCGTGATATTTTATAACTACGGTCTTTACGATGAACATGTGTATGCAACTGACCTATACCCATGAAAACTATGCAACATTGATGGAAATCAGACAGCTAAGCAAAATTATTTTTACTTACAGAGGGTATGTAATGCAAGTGTTATTATAAATATAATTGATAATAACTTGACAGTCTGATCTGTTCCTTCGTAAACTAAACAATCGTGTTGTTACATGCATTTATCTTTTTTTTTTCAAGATGAAGATAACAAGTTTGTTCACGGTAAATATGTGGGGAATATACCTTATTCTTCCAAACTTGTCATCTTACTTCTTGAATCTTTTTTGAAGAAAAAAAAATCTACATGTTTTCTTTTTGTTCCTTGTTTTGGGGTGTGTAAAAATACTGCTGTCTGATTGATAGTTATGTGTATATGATCATGATGTATATTCATAGCAAATTTCAGTTATTGTTCTTGACTTCCATATTTGGAAATCATCCAGACCTCATCTGTTAAAGAATGTTTCTAAAATTAGGGAATGAAAGGTAGTTGATTGATCAATGCTGTAAAATGGAAAAACTCTCCCCAGCAGTGCGCAAAAAAGCTTGCGCTGTAAATTGCACCTATTTTGCATTACAGGATTTGTAGCATTATGGTCAAAGACTAATACAGTGGACCTTATATAAAACCAGTATCCGGACGATTTTTCATCGGAACGAAATTTTTAAATGTTATTCTGTCTTGTTTAATTGGGCATTCAGATATCCGGATGCTTCACATATCCGGACAAATTAACTGGGAACCAAAGCGTCCGGATAAATGAGGGTCCACTATATATAAAACCATAACTGTACAATTCTGCCACTACTTAAATTCTAGCTGCAGAACTGTAGCTCTCTGATTGAGAAATTTCGGACAGATAAAGCAGAGAGCTATAGCATGTATAGATCCAAGTGTTGTAAAAACCTTTGATTTACGCCGACGATTTTTTGTCACTCAATTCGGGTATTTTTTCTTGTATTTTAATACTTTCACCAACTCTAAAAATGGTATTTAATAATTAATCATACATTTAACTTCAATTCCGGATAATTTACTTACCTTTCAACGCTAATAAATGAATGTTTGTGGTTACGGACGTCGAAATTTCTTTTAAACCGACATTACAAAACTATATACAGGACTGTTTCGGACGGTTAAAAGGTAAATAAACTTTAATAAAGTATCAAAAAAAAGAGTTAAATACATAATAATTCAATTTTGTTTATATTCTAGTCTCTCATTGGTTGATTTCCAAAAAGGAACGCAAACCATTTCTTAATAACCTGGTTTGGTATGGGGACACACCCCCTTGACAACCAGCTGAATCATCTGTATCCATGCAATCCTCTCATTTCCAGTCCATGGGATTCATAAAAAAATCCAGATTTAATAAATGTGCCTTTAACTTCAAACAGTAGCTTGATCTTACCTCATGTAAACAAACATCATGGCTGCTACATCTGTGTATCAGTTATTACGTCCCCTTGTTTCAAATCACTTCCGTTACTAGGGATGTATTATTGAGCGGCAAATTTGAACTCATAAAAAGCACCACAATTTTACACCCACAGTTGTTCAATTATTTAAAAATTAAATTATAAGGAATGACTCTATTCAGTTTACGCTTTTTTATAATCCGTGAAGCTTCGCGGATTATAAAGCGTAAACTGACCCAAACCAGGTTATCATCAAATAATTTGGCCAAGAATTAGAGTCATTCCTGAAATAAATTATAGGATACAATTCTAAAAGCCAGAAAAAGATTAAACTACACAAAATAAAAACCTAGAGTAGCGACAAAAAATTGTCGGCATAAATTGAAGGTTTTTACAATGCTTGGATCTGTAGCTCTCTGCTTTATCTGTCCGAATTTTCTCAAGCAGAGAACTCATACATGTTAACTCTCCCGATTTAGGCGGGAGTCTACCGCTTTTTCACTCCATCTCCCGCCTACCGATTTAATTCAGAAATCTACCGCTTTTCTACAAAAGCTGCGTCTAAAGTATTTTTGGTTCGCTTGGGTATCCATTTTTGAAGCCACTCTCATAAAATCTCGCTAGATATCGCGTGATTTGACTCGGAATCATACAAACGCTTTTTTTGTACATAGATTTCAAGCACGGATTTGACAACGACAACAACACAAGACTACCAGTGATTACATTGGTTACGATAAATTAATCAACATCCCTGCCATGAAAAAGGAGATACAGCTTTTAAGAATTAGATGAAAACATTTGACATCGTCTTTAAAAGCACAGAAGCTCACAACTTAATCAATAAAGTCAATAGAAATCACTCGATTGACCAAGCCATGTGGCACATCTCTACTTTCGTTTTCGATCATCGCGGGAAATCTGATTTATATAACGAAAGATAGGAACTTGTTTTAGATATAGATTAAACCATGTCATCATTTGTTTTGTTTAAAAACTGAATGAACATTCAGAATTATTGCTTCTAGGCTATATCAGCAAAGATCACTCTTCAAAAGGCTAAGTAAAGCAGCCAACCCAAGCAAAATGATGAGCATGAAAAATATTTGAATTTGTACAATTTATGTCAAACTTAAGGTGTTTCTGTCTTCTTCTTTGCTGTTGATATTTAAGATTAATTAGTGTAGGTACCTGATTTCATTTAAGGCTTATAATATACATGTATATTACATGAAAGATATCGATAATCCAAGCGTTAAACAACACGCGCGCAATGCTACCGCTTTTGAGGTCTGAATCTCCCTATTTTTCATCACAATAGGTTAACATGTATGGAGAACTACAGTTCTGCAGCTACGTAAATTCCATGTCATGTGACATCAGAGTTTAGACATTCCAAATGCGGTTTGACTAGCCCAGTCTAAATTAATACTAAATAACTAAGTATCTGCAGTACTCACCCTAACAGTTGCACCGTCAACATATTAGCTTAATCAAGAGATTGTGCTGGACCTGTTGACGGCACAATCTAATCTATCTAAACTTATTGGCCATCGTGTGGCCTTATAACCCGTAGCAGCAGTTCTTTAGTTTTGTCTTCAAATCTATATATCTGCTCGATGGTTGACTCTTGCATCTGAAATTTGAGAAGCAAGATGAATAGTTATCACTAACGGCTATGTTTACCATTCTCTCGCAAGGTTTTTGTAGGCTTGCTTTATTTCTTTGGTCGACGCTGATCTACGAATTCCAAGGACATCATACAAATCCTCATCTGCAATACATTCCACAAAAAATAAAAGACAGAAAACTGCTGAATGACACTTCATACTCCTCAGAAGCTTTCGTCAATGTCAATTTGAAGTTTTATTTTCGTATGAAAAAAGTTGTTTCTTAAAGCATTTTTCTAACCAAAATTACTTCAAAGATGATTGAAAAAAATGATAATGATAATAATTTTTATTTATGTTTATAACATTTTAACGAATATTCCGATGAGAAATTAATTTAAAACATATAATAAGCTGAAAAAAAATCAGATAACTCGAACGTAACTTATGTCGACCAAAATATTTTTTTCAAACTTCAAAAGCATAATTTTATACCAATCATTATGAAAAACCTCATAAGAGTAAACATCAATATTTCACAAAAGTCAGTTTTAACTTACATATATTTATTTAAATAAGTTTAAATAAGAGCGAATTTCATTCGTACAAGTTAAGGACAATTTCAAAACAGAAAGTTGAATTCAGAGTATCGGGAAAAAAACAAAAAGGTAGTGTAATGTCACAGTGTGTGTCCATTTTATAGAAACCTGGTCATTAATCGTAAATATATAGACATATTTGAATATATTCTATATTTTTAACAACGACTTTTGTATCAAGAAAACATCTTGTTCAACGGAAAATTACGAACTACGCAACACACGTGTGTGACTAATTGTTTTCAATTTATGAATCATTCGAAAATCAGTCAAATATGACAGAAAATACGTATTTTCTTTTTATAGAACGAATAATGTAAGAAATTGTCACAAATATGCTTTTTTACATCATACTGTATCTGAAAGTAAACAAGAGTTTAGTATTAAGTTAATTTTTTTTTAAGTAAGTGAATAAGTAAATACTAAATATTTTTATCATATTTTGTGTATACAATAATTTTACATTTATTAGACAAATAAATACCTTTATAGGTACAACACCTAGCCAGACTTATAAGTTACTCTTAGCAGTACATTATATGTTTATTATTACACATACGTGTGATTTAATTTTTATGTCATATCCATATAAAAGTTGCTGTAATATGATTTTGACATGATAAATGATTTAATATGAGTGGATTAAAAGTATTTTATTCTCATCAGACATAAAGATGGCAGACCTAGACTGGGGAGCTGCAGTGGACTCCCAGGAACAGACGTTGACAAGTCAGGTAAACCATAGCGGCTCGTAAATGAAAATTGAAGTAATAAGATTTTGAAATCACTTTAAATACACATAAAGAGTTGTTTCAGTAAAGATTCTGACACTTTAAAGCAAGAAATATAAATACCATGTTTAAAAACATACCACTACTACACCTATATAAATAAACTCTACCACTGATGAAAGGTATCATACATGTAAATGGAATAAACATGGCCATGCAATTCAGCACCTGTTTTTGGACTTTGAAGCATTAACCTATTTCATTGTCATGGTTCTATTCCCTGGAGTTGATTTTGCTAAATGTTGATAATTTGATATGTTTATCAGTTGCCATAACACATTAAATCAACAGAAAACAGATACATTCTCTTCAGTTTGGAGGGTCATCTCTCCAAAATGACTTTGAAGGAGTTGTTTAAAATAAAATATACTAGATGCTGTCATGAGACAGTAATACCCGCACTAAGGTGTTTGCCTCTAAATGCACACTTCTTCATATTGGGCTTTACCACGGAAAAAGTCAATATAATTCAATAATTTACATAATACATGTATTCTTCAAATTGAGCATAATATGCTCAGGTGACCATGTAGCTGCAGATCTGCAGCGTTATGGTTTTATATATTTGTCTTTGACCATAACGCTACAGATCCCCATATGCAAAAAAGGTGCAATTTACGGCGCAATATTTTTTTGCGCACTTTTGGACAGAATTTCTCCATTTTCTAGCATTGGTCAATCAACTACCTTTCATTCCCTAATTTTAGACACATTCTGTAGTCAAAATGTATATTTTGTCCACCTCTCAGCCATTTATAGTCATCTCTACAGGCAATAAACCCGCTTGATTTGAATTTTATGCAATCTAACAAATAATTTTAATCAAGCGAGTTTATCTCGTGTAGAGACGAATATAAAACGTTTGGAGATGGATAAAATATACAGATTAGTTAAATAATGTGCCTAGAATTAGGGGGTGAAAGGTAGTAAATTGACCGATGCTGGAAAGTGGAGAAATTCTCCCCAGAAGTGCGCAAAAAAATATTGCACCGTAAATTGCACCTTTTTTGCATTACAGGATCTGTAGCTTTATGGTCAAAGACTAATATATAAAACCATAACGCTATACAGATCTGCAGCTAGTGACCATGTTACCCATGGGCCTCCATCTTATAGGTATTTCATATTCTTTATTCATTACCAGTCGGAAATTAGACAACAGAATTAAATTAATGATGTAAATTAGGTTTGATAAGGGGGGGGGGGGGGGGGTGGCACATAATTGGAACTTTTAAATATATTTTCTCATATAGATTAACAACAAATAATATTATTCAAATTAGTGTAAAGCGTTTTTGATGAATTTTTCAAAATGTGCAAAGTTTATTTATTTATATTTGATTAGGCAGAAACTTCTTGAAAGCTGCCATATACACAATCAATTTAGTCAACCCCGACCCCTCTCCCATCAACACACACACACAAACACACCTTATTTGCCTGTTTTTGGAAATAGGCCTAGATGGCAAAGTTAAAATAAAACATGTTTTGTAAATGATAATTTTCAATTTGTTCTTGCACTACACATGTATCTGAACACCTGCATCACACTGGGCTTGCGTCACGTACCCAACTTAAGTACTAGTTTTACCACTGGCATTATCATTTTAGATTTCACTGCACGTGCAGTAGGCTACTAGTGTGCATCATTGCATACATGTCAGTAGGAATTATTTTATTTTGTGTTTTAACTGGATTATATTTCATGAAGATAACAGTGCCTAAATAATGACAATCGGTAAGTACAAGTTTTGGTATAGATTTGGGTAAAATAGTCTGAAATGCAAACGGTTAGGTTCAGCATCGGATGACCTTTGATCCTTTAACTTACAATAGACGAATTTCACAATCTGAAGAGTTATCCCCCGTTATCAACGTTACATTCAGTTACAAGATCAGAATTTTTTTTCTGGGAGGGAGGTGGGGGAGGGGGGGTTTTCCAGACCAGAATTAGCCTGGTTCCCTGTCCCTGTTTTGCTTTATATACTCCGCGTCACTAGGGCCAGGTGGAGTACAATGGAATCCACCTGGCTCTCCTGCCTTGGCAAGGATGAGACAGGGGACCAGGCTAGACCAGAATTTCCCGAGAAGCAAAAAAAAAAAAAGAAGTTATGGTTGGGTCTGTTTTCTAGGGTGGAGGGACACTTAGGGCATCCAAAGTCATTTTTATTTCCTCCAGTATGTATTATAGTCCTGCAAATTCCAAGGGGGGGGGGGGGTGTTGAGGGGGGGGATCTCCCAATCCACTTCCCTGTCCCTGTAATGACAAATGATCATGTGACTCCTAAATAGTAGGAAACTTTTTCCATTTCACTATATATAATTTTGTTTCTTGTGTTATTATGTTATGTAAATTTAATGGTATAAAGGTTATGAACCCCTAGAGGTCATCCCCACTTTCCTAATGAGCTGAAATGTTCACAATATGACTGCATTAAATTGAATAAAAGTGCATCAATGATAAGATTACTTGACATTTTATTCATGAATTTGTGTCAACCTATCTTCCTAGAATTAGGAATGAAAATCATTCAGAGACGGACCACATTAAACTATTTGTATAAACATTTTTTTTAAATGTAAAAACAAGTAGTAGTTTGCATACATGAACATTGAACAGGGGTCTGGGAAGGGGTGAGGGGAAGGATCGAGTTAATATTATACAATTATTGCTGTTTGTCGAGGTCAATACAATGATTTAGCCATCTGAGGGGTACAATATTCACCGAGCCCGAAGGGCAAGGTGAATATTGTACTTCGAAGATGGCTAAATCATTGTATTGACCGAAAAACAGCAATAATTGTTTTATTATATGATTCACTGATAAAATGATACAGCTTATTACTTGTTTGCATTTAATTAAGTCCTAGCCAAATACAAGAGAGAACCGGAATTAAAATGTAAATAAACCTTATTAGTCGCATCCATTTGAAATGTTTTTTATCAATTTTATTTAGTTGCCATGAAAAAAAAATATAATATCAGTTTTTTTATAGGATAGATTTTGAAAGGAAGGGGTATTATCAGGGAAAACTGACTGCCAAAAAGTAAAAAGTGTTGTTCAGTTAAAGTGTTGGAGGGGAGTCCCTGCATCCCCTCTTACCACCCTGAACTGAAAATATATATTCGCTTATGTTTTGTTCACATGAAAAAATTCATAGTCCATTAAATAGCTTCCCAAAACAATTTGTATCAATTTGGAATTTCCTGATCTATTTTTAGATCAATGTAGAGGAAATAAATCCTTGTATTGACCTGCAACGTCACGTGCAGGTCAATACAGCGTAGTATTTTTCTAACATAGTTGGATCTCAGCCAATCAGAGAGATGAAAATTATTCAATCATATAATAATTCTTTATATACGTCTTAATGGTTGAAAACTCCTAAAATGAATGTTGACCTCAAATCTAACTTGTCCTCATTATTTTTCAAGTGGTGGTGTCTCCATATGAGTGAAAAATACCTGAGAGGGATGTTTAACAACAAACAAAATGACATAAAAACACAATATTGATTTGCGTTAAGAAATATGCAGGGGATTTTTTCCATCATAAATCTTCTTCTCAAGAACAGCAAGGGCATTATTGTCCCCCATTTTGGGGAAAGGGAGGGGACATTAAATCTCATTTGTCTGTCAGTCTGTCCATCTTATTTACAGCTAGTATGTGCATCTGTCACAATAAATTTAACCTTGGTCATAACTTTTGAATAATAAGAGATTGTGCTTTCATATTTCACATGTGCATTACCACAAAACTTTCTAAATACACTATGATTTTTTAACCGAAGTGAGACCTTGACCTTAAAGTTTTACCTACTTTCCAAAAAATAACATTTTAAATTGATCATTTTGAAAGAGAAAAGAAAGGGCATTCAAATTATACATGTTTATTACATGTGAAAAGACTTTTCAAAATATATCATGACTTTTGACTCTGTGACCTTGACCTAGAAGTTTAACCTACTTTTCAAAAATATTATATTGTATATATAACTTTTGATTCAAAAGAGATAGGACTTTCATATTTGACATGTACATTACCTGCAACAAAATGTTTCAGAGCATGCTATGATTTTTCCCCTTTGACCCAATTTTCAAAAATTGATATATGATAGGGGTGCATATTTGACACACAATCTGCCATAAATTATGGCATCCCATTCACTAAAACACAGAAAGCAGAGGACTACAATTCTTTGAATTTGCTTGTATAATCTTGATAGATGGAAACATCCTCATATAATGTAGATTCAAGTTTTTTATGCCACACCATGATTAGGAATACATACATGTATAGTTTTTGTCATGTCCGTCCTCCACCCTTCCATCTGTCTTTCCATCGGGCTCAAAGAAACTTTCTAGATATTTTTATCAAAGTTCATATGTTGATGCATACTGATGTAAATATCCACCGGCAGCAATATTTTTTGACTTTGACTTTTCCTTTGACCTTCACATAACTTTTCTTTAAATTAGTGTTTAGCTTTATTTTAAAGAAACCGTTCAAGTTGTGTAATGAAACTGCACATGATGATACATACTGATGTAAGCTTTACAATGCTTCACTCTTTTTTACCTTGACCATTCCTGTGACCTTGACCTCACTTTTCTAAAATTAATGTCTAGAGCAGTTTTGAATAAACAATTCAAGATATATTTATCAAACTTCATATGCTGATACATACTGCTGAGAGCTATTAATACATCAACTCATTTTGACCTTGTATTTTCCTTTGACCTTGACCTCACTTTTTAAATTATGTGTTTATCTAAGTTTTAAATAAACCATTAATTATAGTTTTATCAAACTTCATATGCTAATAGTAAATTCATACTGATGTAAGCTTTTCAACTGCAACAACATTTTGGCCCAAACCTTTCCTTTGACCTCTCTTTTTTTTAGAAAAGGTGTTAAACTCAGCTTCATTAAATCATTCAAGATATTTTTATCAAACATAATATGCTGATATGTATTAGTGAAGCTACTCACCTGCATCAAAAACTTCACCTTGCACATTCCTGTGACCTTGACCTCCATCCTTTTTAATTTGTATTTCGCTTAGTTTTAAAGAAATGATTTAAGACATTTTTAAAACGTCATATTTCGACCCCCATTTGACTCCCCAGGGCAAAATCAAAATTCCAAAACCCTGCTGTACATCAACATGACACTACCAACCATCTCCTAAAAGTTGATTTGGCTACTGTGTAAAATGTAAGAGGAGTTCAGGGAAGACGGGGCTTTTTGCATAAAAAACGTCATATTTCGACCCCTATTTGACTCCCCAGGGCAAAATCAAAATTCCAAAACCCTGCTGTACATCAACATGACACTACCAACCATCTCCTAAAAGTTGATTAGGCTACTGTGTAAAATGTAAGAGGAGTTCAGGGAAGACGGGGCTTTTTGCATAAAAAACGTCATTTTTCGACCCCCATTTGACCCCACGGGGCAAAATCTAAATTCTGAAACCTTACTGCACATCAACATGACACCACCAACCATCTCCCAAAAGATGATTAGCCTACTGTGTAAAATGTAAGAGGAGTTCAGGGAAGACGGGGCTTTTTGCATAAAAAACGTCATTTTTCGACCCCCATTTGACCCCCCGGGGCAAAATCAAAATTCCGAAACCTTACTGCACATCTACATGACACCACCAACCATCTCCCAAAAGATGATTAGCCTACTGTGTAAAATGTAAGAGGAGTTCAGGGAAGAAAAGTGTGACAGACGGACGGACGGACGGACGGACGGACGGACGGACGGACATGAGTAACAACAATATACCCGAACTTTCTTTAGAAAGTGCGGGTATAATAAATACTAGATTACATAGTGTGCATACCCTGGTACTTGAATTTGCTAAATTTTTTTGGCATGCATCAGAACAGTTAATATTTTAGCTTTGCATGGAGTCTGAAATTTGTTGAACAAAGTTTGTTGACTATGATAATTTTATTTTGGGTTCATAGAAGTGCAAGCTTAAATAATTTAGTTTGATGTTTGAACTGCAGAATACTGTACATGTTTGCATTGTTTTGAAAAGACTCCAGAAACGGGTAACCAGTCACTGAACTGGGCAGAAGAAGTCGAGAAAAGTGATTTGTCACAACAGGTAGAAGTATATACCAGCGTGTTGTAATACGGTCTCTCAATGCCACTCTCTGTAGCTTGTGTTCGAGTGCTTCAATTCAGCGTGGTTTTCACACTCTGCTGTGTAGGATGTTCTGTTGCTGTAAAATATCACCGATTCTTTTGTAATTCACCTAAACGAATAAATCTAGAATGAGCATCAAGATGCTGTATCGCCATTGATAAAATATAATTGTCATTGTTACTGCTTTATAGTTACATTTGCACCAGCACATTGATAGTAACATGCAACTATGTTTTACAGATTACAGATGCATATATTTACTACTTTTCTTTCCGATCTGTAGATGTATCCTTTATCTATTGTATGTTTGGCTTTAGTGGCTGTGCAAAGTAACAGATTAAAACCACATTATCCTAAAAAAGTAGAAATGCCTTGTTCTCATGACCAAGCAGTATTTTGTACATATTAGTTTATACTAATATGATACACAATTACATCTTTGCTTTATAATTTCATTAAATCTACAGAACTGTAGCTGCATGTTTGTACAGTACTTATATGTGAAAATGCATTTACCCGGTACTGGTTGTTGTCAGAATACTAGTTCATTTACTGTAGACACTATGTACAACAACTGCATGGTTGCTTGGTCATCTGTTGTTAAGTATTTCTACAGATCGAATTGCACACTGTATTACTCCAGAAAGTGCTGACATAACATTTTAGCTTTCAGTATTTCTCTATTATCTCTCTTGGTCCATGTTGTAATGTGACATAATGCAGTATTCATGGACCCAAGGACCCTCTAAATTATCTTTAAAACAGTGGGTTGAAGTTATTAAAATGAGCCATTACAGAATGTTGTGGCTTTCTGAAATATTGTGCAAAAGACAGATAGACAAACAGACATGTAGAAATCTAGACAGACTACAAGTGAAACCAAAAACTTCTTTCAGACTTTATTCGTAATCAGTTATTTATATGCAGCATGCACATCTGTTGTAATACTTTTTAATGCAGCCTGGCTTGCTACTCTAATCTCTTATAAGCAATTAACATTTTTTTGTTTAATTTATCTAATAATATTAAAAGGCACAATATTATAATATTTGATACGTAGAAAATGTTTGTTTTTGTTATTACTTATACTTAAAAATAATGAAATAAGTATTTAAAGCATGATATTACTTATATTTTTGCATGATAGGAAAATAAGGTAAAGTTTATATGATTCCTAGCCCCAATATTATAAACTTACATGAACTTAACTTTCCATTTTCAGATTAACAGAATAACATTAGATAAAACAACAGCCCCATCCAAATCTCCCAGCGCCCCAGCACAGAGTGGCCCTGCCCACACACCCCAGACACCACCACGGCCTGGCCCCACCCAGACAAGTCAGACACCACCACGACCTGTCCAGGGGTCAGGTGCAATGGCTGCTGCCCCACCCCCCGCTCAGGATGGGGCAGGAGCCTCAGGAGATGATGAAGACAAAGGTATTGAAGTTAAAACACAAGACTGATCTTGCATGGTTATGTTGAATTGTAGTTAAAACACATGGCAGATTTCAGTTATTTGTAGTTAAAACACATGACAAATTTCAACTGTTTGATTTGTAGTTAAAGTAAAACATTTATGTTTTTTAAACATGTGAACACTGGTTATCTCTAAGGCATGTTTTTCACATCAATATAATGATATGGAATGATGCATATATTTCAAAATATTTACAGGAACAACAAAAGAAGAGGCCTCCCTTCTCAGAAAGTTGGTCCATTCAAAGCTTGTATCCTCCAAGGCAAACCTAGAAGTCTTACAAAAGGACCCCAACTCCCCACTCTACTCTGTCAAGTCATTCGAGGCTTTAAACTTGTGAGTCTGATTATTTCTTAAGTCATTCAGAATCTTATTGTAATAGAAATCTTGAAAAATATTAATTTTCTTGTAGAATATAAAATTAGAGGATTTTTAGCTATCAGTTTAAAATGTTTTTCTTTTTCATCAATTAAAAGGAAAAAGGAGCTCTTAGATGGAATTTACAGTATGGGATACAACACACCATCAAAAATCCAGGAAACTGCTCTACCTGTGCTCTTAGCTGATCCGTAAGTTTACAAATTTCTTTATTTTTGTAATTGAAGTTTAAGGTAATGAATCATTGTGTTCATATATCAATGCAAGTTAAAAAAAGAATTTTTGAGTTTGTGAGTTTTTGAAATTTAATTGTTGCATAATTTTTATTATGCCTTCATCATTTGAAATTTTTGTACAGTCCTGTAAACATGATTGCTCAGAGTCAGAGTGGAACAGGAAAAACAGCAGCCTTTGTCTTGACCATGCTTAGTCGAGTAGACACCAATGTCCACTATCCACAGGTAAAATCATCCTCCACTATCCAAATGTATCTACATATCTCACATTTTAAACATTGTATATTATTCAAAGACTATGAGAGACCCAATAGGAGAGGGGTTGTGCTGGGTAAACTTTCAGCTATATACAGTTTTTCATGCTCAAGTACTGCTCTTTTCTTTAGTCTGGTGATAGTGATAAAGGGGAATCATGAATGTAATTGTAAAGTACAGACAGGTAAATAGATTTACTTTATCAATTGGTTCTGACTACGAGATTATCTTGCCGATTCCTGATCGTTCTGTTTTTTTTTTAGCTCACCTGAGCCGAAGGCTCAAGTGAGCTTTTCTGATCACATTTTGTCCGTCGTCCGTCTGTCTGTCTGTCTGTCCGTCTGTAAACTTTTCACATTTTCGACTTCTTCTCAAGAACCACTTGGCCAATTTTGACCAAACTTGGTACAAAGCATCCTTGGGTAAAGGGGAATTTAAATTGTTAAAATGAAGGGACATATCCCCTCGCAAGGGGAGATAATCAAGAAAAGACAAAAATAGGGTTGGGTCATTAAAAAATCTTCTTCTCAAGAACCACTGGGCCAGTAAAGCTGAAACTTATGTGGAAGCATCCTGGGGTAGTGTAGATTCTAAATTGTTCAAATCATGACCCCCGGGGGAAGGGCGGGGCCACAATGGGGAATCAAAGTTTTATATAGAAATATATAGGAAGAATCTTTGAAAATCTTCTTCTCAAGAACCACTGGGCCAGAAAAGCTGAAACTTATGTGGAAGCATCCTGATATAATGTAGATTCTAAATTGTTCAAATAATGACCCCCGGGGGAAGGCTGGGGCCACAATGGGGAATCAAAGTTTTATATAGTAATATATAGGAAAAATCTTTGAAAATCTTCTTCTCAAGAACCACTGGGCCAGAAAAGCTGAAACTTATGTGAAAGCATCCTGGTATAGTGTAGATTCTTAATTGTTCACATCATGACCCCCGGGAGAAGGGTGGGGCCCCAATGGGGAATCAAAGTTTTACATAGAAATATATAGGACAAATCTTTGAAAATCTTCTTCTCAAGAACCACTGGGCCAGAAAAGCTGAAACTTATGTGGAAGCATCCTGGTATAATGTAGATTCTAAATTGTTCAAATAATGACCCCCGGGGGAAGGCTGGGGCCACAATGGGGAATCAAAGTTTTATATAGAAATATATAGGAAAAATCTTTGAAAATCTTCTTCTCAAGACCCACTGGACCAGAAGAGCTGAAACTTATGTGGAAGCATCCTGGTGTAGTGTAGATTCTAAATTGTTCAAATCATGACCCCCGGGGGAAGGGCTGGGCCACAATGGGGAATCAAAGTTTTATATAGAAATATATAGGAAGAATCTTTGAAAATCTTCTTCTCAAGAACCACTGGGCCAGAAAAGCTGAAACTTATATGGAAGCATCCTGGTATAATGTAGATTCTAAATTGTTCAAATAATGACCCCAGGGAGAAGGGCGGGGCCACAATGGGGAATCAAAGTTTTACATAGAAATATATAGGAAAAATCTTTGAAAATCTTCTTCTCAAGAACCACTGGGCCAGAAAAAGTGAAGCTTATGTGGAAGCATTCTGGGGTAGTGTAATTTCTAAATTGTAGGAATCATGACCCCCGGGGGAAGGGCGGGGCCATTATAGGGGAATCAAAGTTTTACATAGAAATATATAGGAAAAATCTTTGAAAATCTTCTTCTCAGGAACCACTGGGCCAAAAAAGCTGAAACATATGTGCACATGGAAGGATCATGGGGTAGTGTAGATTCCAAAATGTCTAAATTATGATCAGTGTGGTAGGGTGGGGATGCATTATGTATAACAAGGGGGAAATCTGGTAAAGAACAGAATGGTCAAAGCTTCTCAGGTGAGCGATGTGGCCCATGGGCCTCTTGTGCCCATTTTTGGGCAACAATTCTTCATCTAGTTTTTTTTTTTAGTTTTTATTATATACTTTATTGGACAATTTACATTGTTGCTTTATACTCATGTGACTGTTGAAGCCCTTGGGTACTGAAAATGCCTAAATATACGCATGAAATTAATTATTACGTAATTTCGCAAGGAGCACCAGTCACGAAATAAAATTACTCGCTTTTATTTTTATTTTGCTAAAAACAATGTTAAATCTCTCGATGAGCTGTCCATTCGCGAATTATTATTCTCGTGATTTGATGTTGAAGAGGCCTTTCGCGATAATAAGTACTCGTGAAAAATAAGGAATCTACAGTATCTTGTATATGAATTCCAAAGACGAAGTTCAACATCTGTCATTTAAGCTTAAAGGTCGTGTCTTTCATTTGAACAGATTTGTAGAAAGTCCTAATCCCAATTCAAAAATTCTTCTGTATCACAAAATATAAATTACTGTATACATGTACATGTGCTTAAAAATGGGATTCATATTTTAGCAAATTTGGTACAGACAACAATGTGCTATTTATATAAGATTACCACTAGGAAATCATTTATAAGTACAGTATATGACATGACACATTACCAGGTAGTATGTAGTGCTTATTCATAAATATACCAACTAATTACATGTACCGTACTCAGTTATTTGGCTAAATTTTGAGCATGCCAATTTTTCTAAACATATAGTAAGTTCCTAACAAACATTAGAAACCTAATTTTTTTTTAGATTTTAATGGTGATAATGATTTCTCAAAAAATTCCCTAAAAGACCCCAATTTTAATGGCCCTAGTCCCAAATCCCCAAAAAAGTGATGTGAGAGTAATGCTTGAAGCTTCCAGAGCTTTAGTGGATTGACACTTAAGGTTCACCTTTTTGAGTTGGCTCGCGTAGCGAGCTACTCCCTGTTGACATAGCGGTTTCAGAGCTGTAAAAATTTTCACACATTCATCAAGGTGATCCATACGCCAAATATGATAGTTCTAGCAAAAAATACTTTTGTTTGAGTGATTGTATAAACTTAAGAGGTAAAAACTGTATAAAATTTCATACTGTTACATTATTTATGTCTTCATGCTTTTAAAGAAATTTTTGTTTAAATATCTGTAAGATGTACAATTACTGCGTATGAATATATGTTCAAGCATGTACGGCGGATCTAATCTTCCCATCTGAAGTTTATTTATAAATAATTGACCTAAAATACTCCCTCACAAACACATGCTGCTCTCATTAGCTGTAGCTTAAGTGCTTGAAAAATCTATTTTTAGAATCCAGATTTCCTGTGGGAATCATTAAACTAATTACTCCATAACACTGACCACTGCAGCTATCATTATAGAATCCTGTGCTGCTTTTCACAATAATATGTGCGGAAGCCCATTAGTGCCATCCTGTACATATAAAGGAAAAGCAATATACACTTTATTTTTTAACTGAACATGGAGACATATAATATCCAATCTCTTAAGATGCAAAATAAGCTGAATATTAGGTATTGTGTCCAGATGTATAAAAAAGCTCAATTAACTCGAGCGAGTCAACTTGCAGGCCCTTCAGGTCTTTGATTGCACTCTTCTTGTCAGTCTGTCTTCTGAACTGCAGCAATCAGGACCTTGAAATTTTAGTAAGAACTATCTTTTGAACTGTGAGAGCTTGGGCTTTTAATTTTAGCAGATGAATTAGTTGTTTTATTAAGTTGAACTGGATATGAAATAGGTTTACTGACCTCCAGAGAGTGAGAACCTACTTTTTCTGATCTAGGCCTACATTTTATTCTATTATACAACATCTCCAACTGTTAGAAGAAGGGCATTGATATTTGCGTAATGTTAATGGAATTAAAAAAAATGTAATGCAACAAGCCATTCAGGAACATTTGCTTGTGATATTTGTCTCACTTTTTTTTTTTTAAATCGGTTCCACTTATTACAATTTGAGCCTTGAGAGATGATGCTTTTATACTCTATTTGGAAGACTATTGCAATATTGATTTTTTTTCCTTGCAGTGTCTGTGTATAGCACCTACTTATGAGTTAGCTCTGCAAATCGGCAAAAATGTGGAAGAGATGGGAAAGTTCATGACAGATCTGAAAATTGAATATGCCATTAGAGGAGAGAAGTGTTAGAAGATTTTATTAACTGTTCAAATATTAACTCATTAACTTTGTTCATAATACTCTTCATTAAACATCATCAAAGAAAACCAAACATATATAAAATTAAATTCTCAATTTACAGTGAGTAGAGGGACAAAACTATATGGCCATTTGATCATTGGGACCCCGGGGACAGTGTGTGACTGGGCCCTGAAGTTCCGCTTCTTTGACCTCAAAAAGATCAAAGTTTTTGTCTTAGATGAAGCAGACGTTATGATTGCAACACAAGGTCATCAAGACCAGTCCATCAGAATCCAAAGGTCAGTTGGACGACCTTTATATAAGGTCATACTATATACAGGGAAAATTTTTGTCCCTGTTTTATTTTCGCGCCTTTTGCCCTAACCTTGGGTGAATTTAAAACGGGAAGAATTCAAAGAATACAGTATAATTTCTTAAACAAAACTGTGACTTGGCGAATTTAAAACAGGTCAAAATTGTTTGCACGTGTGAACAGGCGAAAATAAAGCGGGGCGAAAATAACCCTGTCTACAGTATGTCCTTATCATTTAAATTGATGGGTCTTTAAATGAAAAACATATACATCATCTTAAAAATTTCAGGGAATTACTTCAAGAATTGACGCTTATTATTTTTGTTCAGGGGATTAGGGAAGGACTGTCAGATGTTGTTATTTTCTGCGACATACGAGGATGAAGTGATGAGATTTGCGCAGGCTGTGATTCCTAACAACCCCATTGTGATTCGACTCCGGCGGGAGGAGCAGTCTCTGGACAATATCAAACAGTACTACATAGAGTGTGCCGACCAGGAGGGCAAGTTCCAGGCCTTGTCTAACATCTACGGCTCTATATCAATAGGACAGTCTATGATATTTTGTGCTGTGAGTACTGCTGTCTGTAAGGCCTGTAAAGGATAAATATTCAGATATTGAAATTGTGATTTATCCTTAACGTACAGGTGTTGTCAATTAGACTGTCTTTTTTAGCTTTGTTTGTACTAGACTTGGCAATGTTGTTTAGTTTGTAAACCTGTACTACACCTCAGTCTGTTTTTACTGTAAAAATGCACTGGATATGGGAAGCCCAATCAAAATCATTAACATTTAGTAGGTAATAAAGAAATGATTTCATTTCATTTATAGGTAAACAAATTGTAAACACCTGTGACTGTTATTATATATGAATTATTTAACCTAACACTGGGACAAGGTACTTATTTAAAAGGAATTATGATAAAAAAAATAATGAATTATGACACAAACATACTGAATTATGACACAACTTTTAGTTATTGCATGAATTTTTGCCAAATCACAAAACAAGTCAACAGTAATTGTTTTGTCATTCTTTTAGCAAAAACATTTAAAACAATACAGTCAAACACAGTCTGATTCAAAACTCACCATATAAAATTCTCAAAATGCAAATTGGGATATCTGAATTTTGAATTAAAATTTTTTTATTAACTTGAAAAAAATTTTAAAAGTCTTTTCAATTTTCTATAGGATGTAATGCAATAGTTTCAAAGTACACTGTATTTTACAAAAATAACTTTCAAAGTATTGAATGGGAACATGTAGGCGCACGTGAAAATTTATAAAAGATATTAAATAGAAATAAGACATTTAATACGTTTATATTCTTCAAAGACTTAGCCCCACTGATGACAAGATACTTCTCTATTAAACTGTAGATTCAAAAATATGCACATGGATTTAATTATTCCCTAATTTCACAAGAAGCACCACTCACAAAATAAATTTACTTGCTTTTATTTTTATAGTGCAGAAATTTATGAATAAACTTTTGATCAACCGTCCATTCCTGAACTATTATTCTTATTATTTGATGTTAAAGAGTCCTTTCATGATAAAAAAAGGAATCTACAGTACATCATGATGATATTTTAAATTCAGTAGCTGCTTTTTATAACTCAGTTGTATAAAACTTGTGTCTTATACAGACAAGAAGAACAGCGGCTTGGTTGGCAGAGAAGATGACAAAGGAAGGGCACGCTGTAGGTCTCCTGAGTGGAGAATTGTCAATAGAACAAAGGGCGGCCATCATCAACCGCTTCAAAGAGGCCAAAGAGAAAGTACTCATCACCACAAACGTCACAGCTAGGGGTGAGTGGTAGCTATTGTGGAGGATTTAATTGAGTGTAGTTAACACCATAAAAGAATACATAAAATCTAAAGCACATTTTTTAAAAGATACAGATAAATTAATAAAAGATTCTTGCATTGTGCATTTTGGTACATGGAATGGATGTGCAGTGACATTTAAGTAAATAATCAACTTAAAGTTAACCTTCCTTTCTCAGATTTCTTTCTCAGTGTGACCTTTACTAGTATTCTTGAGAGGAGAAATGACAGATTCTCTTTTATTTTCATTACAGGTATTGATGTGGAACAAGTGACAGTTGTAGTGAACTTTGACCTTCCCCTAACTCCGCCCCCAGAAAACAAACCTGACTTTGAGACCTACCTCCATCGGATTGGACGAACGGGTCGTTTTGGCAAAAAGGGCTTAGCAATAAACATGGTGGATGGTCAGAGGACATTTCAAACAATGAAAGCAATTGAGAGATACTTTGGTAATTGTATAATTTCTGTACAGTTATAGATTTTCAGTAGAATTTGTTTCCCTAAATCTATACACTGAATTCTTCATTTTGTGTTTTTAAGACGGAGGTATTCATGTAGATACATCTTACTGAATAATAGATATGGCTCTCTTAGGATTTTAAGGCTACCTGCACTTGTTAATAAGTTTTAAATCTTTATTTCTTTTTCAATGTAGGGCGTGAAATCAAGAAGTTAGATGCAGATGACATAGAAGAAGTGGAGAAGATTGGCAGTTAGAGAGGAATCTCCCATTCATCAAGTCAAAGCTATCGTCTTCATACAAATTGATATAAAATCAACATTTTACTGAGTAGATGACAGTTTTAGTGATTTTACATTTTATGCAGAACCTTGCAACTGCCAACTGCATCTGAAAGAAAATGTGAATAAGGTTTAGAAGGGGAGATAATTCCTTTCATGTGTCATTTTATTTCATGTGAGAAAGACATCTTTTAATGTTAATAAACTGTGACAGGTCAGGCCGAGCTTCTGTTCAGAAAGTACTGCTTACTATTTTCCTGACATGTATTTTATGTGACTTTGTTACTGTATAAGATCTTAAAAAAAAATAAAATCTGTATTGTGCTAGTGTTGGAGGTCCTGTTTTGGTCACCTGTGGAGAAGAGTGGCACTCAGGGATGATGATTATGAGGTGTCTGTCTGGCAAACTCCGTTGCTCAACTCCTTAAGAACTGTTAGTTACATGTATGAATTTGATATTTTACATATTATACAATTATAGACTCTTTTGATGTTGAATATGGTTTGTTTTCACATGAAAAATATCAATACACTGTATTGACCAAGGCGAAGTGAACTGTGATTTTACAGTATATGGCCTCAAAGCTGATGAATATGTAGTGTTATGAACGGTTTGCATTTGTATAGATTATATAGGGACTATAAATAGACTATAATAAACACTTTCTTTCTTATTTTAAGAGACAAGATTTTAATAATAATGAGCACTTGTATCACCAAAGTTTATGCTGAGCTCATGATATCGCACTTTGAAATTCTGTAAGAATGCTGTGAAAATGACTTGGAAATGGTTGTACTAAAATGGGTCTTCTAAATTAAAAACACGACAAATATATACTAAAATGTTTATTTATATTTTATTCATAATAAAATAACAAAGAATTGTTCACAGTAGTACAATCACTCTATATTGCACTTGCATAATCAGAAGTTTACTCGCATACAGAGTATCATGGGAAACCCACAGCCAACCTTGCAATAAGAGTATGCTAGATTGGCAGTGGGGTGTCAGACAATGACTACAGAGTAAGTTCATTGAGATAACTCGATATTCCTATAAAGATGTGTACCTTACTGACCCATCCAATATTCCATCAAGAAACTTGTTACAACTGACATTTGCTTCATTTTCTCCCGACACAGCAAGCAAACCCTGAACAAAGCATAAAATAGTTAACACTATGGATATCTCATTCAGATTACACACTAGGTAAAAGTATTTTAAAATAACATTTGGAGGTAATTTAGATTAAAGCTGATTTGACAAATAAAATATTGATTTAAAATTTTAACAGGAATAAAATGTTTTACAATAAGTACTATAAAAACACCATCTGTAACTCTAGATGTGTCTTTTAAAATGTACAAAATGTTAAAAGGCACTGTATATTTGTTTCTAAAATAATTTTTTCATTGAAATATTGACAAACATGTGCTATGGTATGCTTATGATCAATGGCTATAAAACAAGTATTTAATAAAACAAAGTCAGCTGATTTATGTATAATTTCCCCAGCTGAATATCAGCAGGGTGTCAAGCCACAAGTTGCGGGGTAAAAGCGTAGTCGTGGATATCAGGAGTCTCCAGGCAGTCCCCTGTTTGTGATTTTCTCTTGTTTCTCCGAGCACATTTGGGACACGACTTGGAATCGGACTTGCAGGATTTGTGGAACACAGACTTGCATTTAGGACACTGAAAATATAAACCAAGAAGTCTATGTCTGAAAAATTTATAGTACCAGCTGTTTAATGAGCTACTATTATCTGAATTCAAAAATATGTACAGGTTTAATTGAGGTAGGTACAGTGTATAAATTGTTTGTGTAGTTTTTTTGATGGGATTTGTGCAAATGAAGAATCTGTATAAAGGGACATAACTCTGTAATTATGAAGACCTACCCTGATTGTATCATCTGTCTGGAATGGATAGATGACCTTAGGATTGTGACAGAGCTCACAGATGAACCCCTTCCCACTACACAGGGGACACTCGTACACATGCTTTGTGGCAAACTTAATGGACTTCTTCAGACTCTGTGTCAGCTGACCCGAGGGCACCTGCAGCAGATCCTGTGTAGAAAAAGGCATTTAATTTATCAATATGAGCACCTCATTTTGCACTCAAAGGATAAGGATAAAATAACATAATGGACAATCTGCAAATAAGATTCGCTTTACTTTGCACTCACAGCTAATGTATAAGTATGAATGCCCTCATATAAGTATTCCTTTGGCCACATGCTCTTTCTGAATTCATCTGCAGTCGACTGTTTACATGTGAATAAGTACGTCTTCAAATGGCAAAGTTGCTTCCTTAACACCTGTTAAATATGTTTGAAAATATTAAGCATTATCAAATACATTTGTATCACTGTTAAAAATGTGAGGAAAATCAGTAACCCCAGCATTACTTTTGGTGGTTACTGAGTAAAAATATTTGGAGTAAAAATCATTGTTCGTTGGGAGGGAGGGTACTTATCGAAACTTAATATACCTGTAGCTGGTCCATTTCTTTGATATGTTCATACAACCGGGGGTTCACAACAGAAACATCAATGATGGAATGGTCCTCAATGTCTTGTAGGTAGGTCAGGGACTTCTTGGAAACTGAGGATATAGAAATTGATATTGGACAATTAACAGATATAACAAATTACGCTTATAACAGCAGAATTGCGTGTCCCAGGCACTTCCTTTAAATCGTGTTTTACTGTATTGATATTTTAACTTATAAGTATTACACAGGTATGCATTGTATCATAGAAAAGATTGTACCTATATGCTTCCTGAAGTCCCAGTTGTGAATGATAAAGGCTGGAATGTAATACTCCTCATTTTCATGACACTCGAAGCAGTAATACTTCCCATCAAATGTGCAAACCCGAGGTTTTCCATAAACTGAATTAAATACAGAATGAAATGTAAATTTGTAATGCAAGTATAAGGAAAATATAGGATCACCCATGATTTATCGTTGAATATGATTTTTATCCCACAAATTGTGTTTTTTTTTATCCCCGAGCCTTGGCAAGGGGATAAAAACATACGAGTTGGATAAAAATCATATCCAACTACAAATGATGGGAGATTCTTTTTATCCCATGTTTTATACTTTACAACCAATGTTTTATATAGAACTCCACTTTATTTTACTTCATCACACTAATGCAGAAACCATTGTGACTTCATAACTGCACTTAGTGTGGGATTTCAAAAATATCCAATGAATCATATCCACGGGATAAAGGGGTAAACATGGGATAAAATACCTTTATCTATATTCCTGTAAAATGAAAAGAAAATCTCTTACTGAATCCGATTGGTCGTTTACAGCTGCCACACTGGTAATTCTGGGCGTCCAGTCCTTTCTCATTGGCTATCACCCCAAGCAAGGAGGCCTGGCTTTGAGAGTCCTTAAATAGGAAATCATAAATCAATAATAAATGAATATTAAAACGTTGATCTCTGTACAATTCATGTATAGACAAATTTTAAAATTTTAAATTAACTTTTTTAATAAATAGGCATTTTTACATCAGATATATAGACTTCAGTCAGATTTACATTAGATTTACATTTCTCAAAACAGAAGAAGAAAATAACCATATATGTATAAACTGTGATATTTTTATTAGACACTTGCACTAATACATGTAATTCATAGAACAACAGGAGCAAAAAAAAGATTTAAAAGACTCGAAAACATTCACAACACTCTAGAATATTACCCCTGGTAATAAACTAAATACTGTATACAGGGAAAATTCCCCCCCCCCCCCCCCGTTTTATTTTCGCCCCTTTCGCCCCCTCCTTGATTGGACAAAGAACTATATGCGGTATATTGCATATGTTTGCCCCCACAAAAGTCAAATTTTGAAAACTTCCTGAAATGTGCTGAATTCAATAAATTGTACGAGAAATATAAGTTAACAGAAAATATTATAGTTCCAGAGCAGTGTATTCACAATTTCTGTTTTTATGACGTCATAAACTAGTCCGATTTTATATCCTTTTTCAGAAAGAGGACAAAATGGACAAAATTTCAACAATTTAAGCTTTAGAATTTATAGAGCGCATGTGTGTTCAGGAACAATATTGACATATTTCATTGATATTATCATTCTACACATTATATCAAAATTTTAATTCTGAACACACATGCGCTCGGTGACTTTTATTTAAAATATCGACGAAATATGTACATTTTTCTGCAAAATTCATAAAAAACTGAAATTTACGTCATATTTGTGACGTCATTACGTACATATGACGTCATTACTTATGAAATTATTCAGTGCTTTGAAGTCAGCATATACTCCCCTGTTTAAGGACTTAATTAAATATTACTCCATCAAAGTTTGATTTTGGGGGGCAAATGTTGGTTAATACCGCATATGGTTCTTTAAAACGGGGCGAATTCAAATTATACCCCATAATTTCTTAAACAGAACTATGACTGGCCGAATTTTAAACGGGGCAAAATTGTTCACAAGTTCAAAAGGGCGAAATTAATATGGGGCGAAAATAACCCTGTATACAGTATATGTCCTGATTGTACATAGTTGGGGAACAAAATATCAATGTTCATGGATTTCTTAGGCAGCCCATACAGACTTTGAAATGCTTTTTTAAGAAGATTGAAGTTTTCTTTTGAAGTTTTAATGATTTTTAATCCTGTTTTATAATATTAATGCATTGCAAGTATTTAAGTTCCAAAGACTGGAATGTATCACAATACTTGGAATTTGAAAATTTAATCATTAAAGATAATGGTTAAATTCTCAAAATGAAATGATAAGCTCCTCTAAACTATTATGTATGTATAGTTACACTGTTATCTGCAGAAAGAAAGATACTCAAACTCTACGCCATATGTTATAAAGAAGAAAGACACAAGCACACATGCAATCTAGGTTACAAAATCAATGGAGAAAGAACTGCAAAAGAACCAGTTAGTAGACAAGCCTCTGCGACACCCTGATCACTCACTCTTTCCGAGCCTTCGGAATCTGGGTCACCCACTATCTCGTAATCTTCTTCCTGAATTCAGTCAGTATTTCCCAAAATAATTAATTCTGATGCATTTCTTTCAACATACATGTACATGAATTTTGGAACAAAGGTCACATTAACATAATATTCATAAGAAAAAAAATGTAATTATTTTCTATGATGCATACTACAATGCTGAGTTTTAACTGAAAAAAAGGCTAATTTGTGTTTGGATTATTTCAGGTTATTCCCCTAGCTGACATGCAAATAAAAAAATTATATAGCTCTGCTTAACTATGCTTAATCTCTTCTGAACACATTAAATAAAACGTTACTTATTTTTGATACTTTCAATGTGAAATGTTTATTAAACACTGATAAATTTAAGTAACTTAATAGTATATTGCTTTATATACTAGATTGACTACTAGGTTTCAAACAAATGCCGGGAATAGTCTTCTTAATTGCGACCATTCAAAACAATAAAGGAGGACATGGATTTTTTTAAATCAAAGACTACAGAGTATTTTAAAAGAAAATTTATTTAGATAAAAATATTTTTTTTAAAAAATCAAATAAACAAATTTAAAAAATCAAGAGGAATATATATATAGAGTGGACATACATTGTTTATTATGAAATAATGAGGAAATTTATACTTGGATAATTACACAAGAAGCATCTGTATATATTCTGCAGGATTCCATTCTCATGTCCAGGGTAAGAGACTACACGAAAGTAACATATACTTTTCTTTCAAAGACTAAAGTACTTTTTAAGTGTTTTTATTTTAAATTTTAAATTTTTCACCTGAGATGTAGAAAATGTTGGGTCCACCTGTGGTGGTGATGAAGAGAAGTCACTGCATTCTGGAAGTTCTTGAAGCACATCCTCCATCGTAGGGGAGGCAACCTGGCTGGAGGGCGTGTAACTCTTCAACAAGGAATTAAAACTCTCAGCTGAAATACAAAGATAGTCTGGATGTAGTAACTGAGAACAAATATATGTATTGTGAAATTTGAGAAAAACAACCAGGATCTTTCCTCTATAAGGAAGTGTTGATTTCAGATGCACAAAGATCTATTCCTACAAACCAAAAGTGCTGGGAGCTACTGAGTAAAACAGGGAAGGATGTTACCTAAGCAATAAATTCTGTCATATTCCAAGGAAACCATGCATCACTGAGTTTCATAAAGAAAGTGATTTAATTTAGTTTTGTTGGTGACACAACATAATATTTAAGGAATCACTGTCTAGTTAGTATAGTATGCCAGGGCATCAATGATAGTGGGAAACATGGGATAATTTGCATAATGGGCAAAGTCCGTTATGCATAAATTATCCCATGTTTCCCATTATCGTTGATGTCCTTGGTATACTATACTAACTAGACAGTGATTCCTTATATTTCCATTTCATTGTGAAATTTAATTGTAGATTTAAAAAGATTTTAAAAATGTAGACATCGATTTAAATTACACGAGGACTCCCATGCCAATTTCAATAGTCCTCGCCCACTGACGTCAAACACAAAGGCAGCCGCACGAGATTTACATGCATATTTAGCCTCCTTAGCGTTAGACACAGAGACAGATGTGCATGAGATTTGCATGCATACTGTAAATGTATTATATTTAGCATGTATGATATTTGGAAGAAATTGACTTTTGAATAAGTTAGCGTAGATTTGATTTAGAGCATTTCTTCTTATTCTTATCTATGTGTTTACGTGCAAGACATTTAGCTATGTACTTGACTTAGCAGTTGCTGCAATCCGCCAAAGCCGCTAAAAAGAATACACAGCCAAATGTAATACATTTACAGTATTAGGCCTCCTTAGCTCCTGACCTATCGACCTGCCTAATTTACATTCAGGTAGAATTATTGAGAAATCAAACCGGCTAACTTTCAAAAAGTTATCATAGAGAGAAAAATTTGAAATGAAAATATAAAATGGCAAACACATACTACACCTACATGTATATTTCAATGACTTACAGTAAGGAAATAAGTTTAAAACTTTAGTTTTGTTGATGATGTACAGTAATATAAAGTGACAAGTGAAAGTTTGATTCCACATCCTTACATTTATTTCTGACAGGCATAGAAGCTATGGTGGTTGGTCGCACAGGTTGTTCAAAATCTGACGACCATCCACTGCGAGCCCCAAGACTGTTCCCTACACTGGGAGGTGAAGATATTCCAATACCATCTGAAAATATCAAGTACAGGTAAATTACAGGTAAATCAAACTTACATTTAAATACCTTCTTCTACAAGTATATTACAAAATCAAAACTTAATTTAAAATTTTATCTGTCAGAGGTCTTAATTTGCAACTTTGAGAATCAATTAAATCTGAATGTGTTTGCACTCTTTATTTATTACATTTGGGTACTAATTACTAATTCTGTCAGTAACAATTGAATTTATCCTATTGCATCCAAACATTATCTAACTGTTGTGTCAACATCATCACTTACCCTCATTTTCCGGCTCTAGGCAGACAGATAGTGCCCCTGACCTGGGTCGTCGTGGAGAAGAGGAGACCTCCTCACCCTCTTCACTCCCTACAGAGAACCTCTTCTTTGTGGTTTGGTCCATCATTGTTGTTACTATTGCATCAGCTACAGCCGGCGACAGCTGAGGTTGGACTATGTCACGTGGTGACACATTAAAATCAGGTTTTAGATTCTCCCTCTTATCTTTTGACTTTTTTCTTGTCCTTTTCTTCTGGTCAAATGAGTCATCTTTACTGTTATCATATGAAGAGTCACTCGTTAAATGCTCTTTCCTATCTGAATCAGCAGGACTATTAAGTTCTGTGTTGAGAATATCCTCTAAAATCCGTTCATTCACAAAATCTTGCTGCTGAGATGTCAATTTTACTTCACTAGCTTTGTTTTCCGTGATCAACACAGGCTGCGTTTTTTCATATGTACTTTGAGTATTTTTAGACTCCTCCAGACATTCATGTATATCCTCATATCCATTCATCTCTAGAGGACTTATCTGAAGTCCCGATCCATCAGTATCACAGTAGCTTTCCTCCTCTAAGCTCTTACAGTCTACCAGCTCAGCAGAGGCACTCGAGTAACTCAGTTCCCCGTAAGAGCTTGGATCATTTAAAGAAGGTTTTCCCGGTGAACTCAGCTCAGAGTCTGAGGTAAGATTAATACTGGGAGGCAGTTGATCCATTTTTCCATCACTTTGTTTGACCCTGGTACCATGACTTTCACTGTCCTTAGAGAGATCACCTGTTTCATCATCATCATCATCAAACATTGGTTTGCTGTCATGTCCTTGATCTGCCACATAGGAAGCGGGGTTTCTGTTGTATTTAACAGGGTCAGGGCAGGAAACTCGACTAGAACTGGAGCACTCTGACCTAGTTTTATTTCTAGGCTTCATGCCACGAATTTTGTCTACATCTTCCTGAGTCAGCTCAGAACTGTACTCAGTCACTGACCTTCCTTGTGGAAGGGGAGATAACCCGCCATCATCCAAACTTGATCTTTTTTTCGTTCGCCCCTTTTGTCTGTTGACAGGATTTATAGTCTCCACATCTTCCTCTCTTTGGATGACTTCAGGTTTTCCTGATGGTACTGTATTAATAAATATTTATAAGACACATCAATTTCATCAAAATCATTAAATAATAATTGAAGTAATCACTGGGTAAGCAGAACCTTTTAAAATCTTTATATCATTTAAAATAAATAGCTGTTGTAGTCATTATTTGACCAATCAAAGACTTAAGAAAATTTTTACACCACTGGAGTGATGGGGAAAGACTGAAAAAATAAGAGAGACATAAAGGTTGACATGTTTATTTTTCCTACCTCTGTTAGGGTGAATTACAGGCAGAGGAGTGTTCTCAGCATCAATTAGTCCCGCCAGGACTAGTGAGGAGTTAGGCCAGTTATTGAGGACACTGGAGTTGTAGGACAGCTGAAACTCATACGACATCAGTCCTATCACAGGAAAGGAAGAATATGACGATTATACAACAATCCTTAAAAAATTTCTCATATTCTTTACTGGATAGATAAAAATTGATACATGTAACATTATAAAAAGCAAACAAAAATACATCTTCATGTAGGTAGTTTAAAGCCGGTATTGTTCAATATGCTTGAGACATTATTTTTTAGTTCTTTTAAAATTGAATTTCTTTAGATATCCATATCCTTAAAACATGCAGAAATCAAAGAAATTTTCAAGATATCTCAGTTTTTGCAACTTTTCTTTCAAATCTAATAAATTTTCTGAAAAAAAATAAAGTCCACAAGATTGTTTGTATTCATAAATGTACACCTTTTAAGTAGGAAAGAAAAATTCCTGGTTGTTCATGATCTCTAAAGTATGATGTACTGCTATAAAAGTACCTGTAAAACATTAAATGATTTAATCATATCAATGTCTTTATGCAACTGTAATATATAATATATCTCTGAAACTTATTTCCAAGACTGATTTATATGTAGAAAACTTTATTTGAAGAAAAACAGAATGTTCTCACTGCAAGGATCTCTTGTCTGCAATCATAGCATTGACGTAACTTTCCATCAACCCATCATTGAGTGCCACCCGGATCCAGGCCTGGCAGAAATCAATAATAAACATCAATTTGACTTATCAGAATAGATATATATATATATACATGTATATATAATGTTTAAGTCTTTTATTTAGACATAGAGCTGTCACTTACTCTACAGAGGCCAATCTCTGTGTTGACCTGAGCCAATCTCTTAAGCTGAGCCACTACATCACTGTGAGTAAATCTCTCACAAAACAACCAGAAGTTCTATAAAAGTTGATACATGTACAGAAACAACTAATAATAGCGTTTATTTACGATCAACCAGCTTATCAAAATTTCTCAGAATTTTGCTAGTAATATCAATTTCATTAAAACTAATGAATCAACTGTTTAAAGTAAAACACAGCAATGTATAGTGGTGGACAAGATAAAGTTGACACCTAGATATGAATTGACTGGACAAGTATGAGAAAAGAATAATGTTATTCATAACAAGAGCTTTAATTTCTGAGCATAATTTACTTCAGTGAAATGATTCTGCTTGAATAGTATGATAGTTGGATATAATATTGACACTAGTAATACATGTACATAATTATGCTATATTTTTAAGGGAAATGAAGTCATTAACTTACAAGTTGTTGAGCTCCATTTTCATATCCCTGGTTTATACCAATGTAATTTGCTATCTGCAATTATAATAACATGTTGTGCACATACTGGGATAATGTACTGGTACCTACAATTATCTGTAAGTTACTTTTTACTTGCAAAAACTTTATTTTCACATAAATAATGTACAATATATATAGGCATTATAGCGGACATACAACATATACAAAGAAATTTTATTGAGCATACATTGCTGTTTTTTTTCTCTCAAAGAACTTTACATATCTATGATTTTTTTTACTTGAAGATGATTGTATATTCTCTTAATATGGTTACCTTTTTGGAAACTGGTGGCTTGCAGCCATGAAGGAAGATGCTCTCCAGGATGTTACAAATAGCATTGGCTGAATCGGTGCTGGAAAATTCAAATATCGACATTAAACATCGTTCATTAAACTTCATTACTTATTTCATCAATTGAAATTTAATTCTTTTCTAATAAATCGCTGTGTATTTTTTGCAATAAAAGAAATTGGCTTGTTTTGTAAAGCTTCTAAAATGATTACTGTGCCTTCCCTACATTATCAAGACTAGTAATTAAGTTTATGAAAATGCATGCATGATCTGTAGCACACAGGATGTACTGCCTACTTCAAAACAAGAGATTTTCATGTTCTCTTAAAAATATCATAGCATAAGTAATGATACCTGAGAATCAGTTCATCTGAGTTCAACTGCTGTTCTCTCTGTATTCTCTTAATGCAGGAAGATAGTTCTTTTGTGATGTTTTGTTTAATATCATTTTGATGAGCAATCTCAACTGAGGTTGGGCCTAGGAATAAAATATTAAAGTCTCTTAAAATTTCACAACTGCTGAATTGCTTTTCTAAATATTTACTAAAAATACAGGAAACTTTATGCCTTTTTAGAGCAATGAAAATAGGATCTGGCTACCGTCTGACATTCGATCAGCTGACAACCACCCCTTGTCCTTGAACAGATTTCTTTATTTAAAAACTTTGTTTAAAGAGTCAAAAATGTACCTTTTCTTTTAAACAAACTCATTGGAATTTTACATATCGATTTTCCTGTGGATCTGAATGTATTTACGTATCTTCAAATGGGAGTCTTTGTGTTGTTTTGCAAACAAACGAATGACTTCCGGTTTGGGAAATCGAAAGTAGCTCGTGCGTTCAAATGCGGAACTACTCGGGCTTCTTCATAGCAATGTAAAGAGAGTCGTCTGATGGCTAGCCATGGCATCAAGAACGTCTTCTGCTTTAGAAATAAGAAAATTGAGAAAGAAACTAAGACAGATTGAAAATTTAGAACGAAAGGAAGGCGATTTATTGGACGAAGAATTAACAAAAGTATATTTTAAAGTTTTTTTTCAAAGTTTTATTTTTAGCTCACCTGAGCTGAAAATTCAAGTGTTACCCCTTCCGTTCAGAGTTTATTAACTAATGCATGGAACATCTTTAATTAAAGACAGTCCAATTTTGCTGGGTCACACACTGAACGAGAAAAAAAATCAAAAGTGACATTTTCATAATGTTGTCTGTGCTCAATGTAATTAAAATTAGATGTTAGATCCACTCGCATACTCGCAACACTAACATCTAACAACATCCCATAGAGGACAATCTAATTAAAATTAGATGTTAGATTCACTCGCATACTCGCTACACTAACATCTAACAACATCTCATAGAGGATCACGTCAGAGGTCAAATTCGGAACAACTCTAAATTTATTCTCTACGATTACGTCAACAAATATACGATGATTTTGCAGGTGACGATTCGATTGGTTGATAGAATTTGACCCCTGACGTGACCCTCAATGGGATGTTGTTAGATGTTAGTGTAGCTAGTATGCGAGCGGATCTAACATCTAATTTTAATTAGATTGGTCTGTGCTAAACCTTCTTAAATTTATTATTTAGCATGTTTAGGCTTTAATTCATGATAGATGGACTAATAATCTATCTCTCGATACTACTCGTCCAGAAATTTTGAGTAGGGGTCATAATGATCATGCATTCATGTCCAGTTGACCTTTTTGTCCCAAACTGTTGGAAATCAGTGGTATGGGAGTTATAAATACACTACTCCATAAAAAAGTTATGGCCATGTTTAAAGTTTTTAATAAGTGGGTCAAACTCAAAGGTCAAGGTCAAAAATATTTATACCAACTGAAAGGTTTGTCACAACGAATGTGAAGTATGAAAGATCTGGCACCAATTGTTCAAAAGTTATGACCAAGGCTAAAATGTGATCATTTGTTTTGTAAAAGTGAGTCAAACTTCTAGGTCAAGAGGTCAAATTTGGTGGTATCCAAAGAAAGGTCTTGTCGCAAGGAATACAACTGAGAAGTATGAAAGCCATAAAGTCACTTAAAAGTTATGAGCAAGTTTGAAGGTTTTGCAGACAAACAGACAAATGTACAGGGCAAATATACCCCCAAATCTTCAGTTGTGATGGCATATAATTACCTATCTCTTTCATATTCTTATGAAGCAGAATTTATAAATTTTTTTCATGAATGGAAGATTGAGTTTCAATTAAATATAATAGGGCCTAATACAATACATCAATAACACTAAGGGACAAGTCCGATTAAAAAATAGTTATTTCCATTTTGATGACCCTCCTTAATGGGATTCCTACAGATTGTACTATGCAAGCGGATCAAAGGATTTGATTTTAACCTCTAATTGCAGTTTTTCTTTTACACATTAGCTGATATGAATCTCACCCAATAGAGCTACAGTCTCATCAGGGGCTTATGATTTACTTTTAATATTGTTGGATATAAAGTTTTGTTTTGAATCAGATATCTAAAAAGACAGAAATTCGGGAGCAGCTTCTGCAGTTGTTGGCCACTGCTGAAGATGACAATGAAAGCTTTGAGGCATCAACACAGTCCAATGTAACGAACAACAGCAATGGATCATCAGGTAAGAGTTTAGTTTGGACAGATACAAATTAGCAAGGGCAACTTTACATAAAAAAGGAGTCTGATAGTAAATTCAACTCTCATCTAATTATGTGGCTATATGCATTTCTTTGGAGAGAGATTTTTTAAGTTTTACCATAATATATACATGATGTAGCTGTAGGTTAAATCTGATATCTGAATATTGGTAGGATTTTTAGAGTCTGTTGAGATACTGTATATGGGGTGTTGAAACATCAGACTTTTAATAAATTTTATATACAAAGATTTTGAAGGTATTCTTTCGAAAGGTTATCAAAAAGTTCATAGACTGGTGCCTTAGAAGTAAAATTGGTCTCTGGTTAAGGTATACTGATTCAATGCTGTACACATGTATTGAACATAATTTTATCAGAATTTATTACAGTAGAGCCTTAACTGTTAATCCCTGTACATTTACCAATATAATCCAGATGCCTCACCTTACAGAAAAAATTTGTTGGAAACATAATTTACATATACAAATTAGAAAAGATCAATTTCAGTAATCCAGCCTATTCATTAATCCACTTGATTTGCTCATGAAGACAAGCATACAGATTAAGAGGGCTTAACTGTATAAGGTCTGGGTATTATTAGTTACATAGTCTTTTAGTGACAGGGTATGGGATGATACCTGGTTAGTAAATTTCATACCTGGCGAGGCGAAGCCGAGTCAGGTTTGAAATCTGTGTAACGAATTTACCCCACCGATGAAACATTTACGTTTTATCTGTAGTTTATAAATGGTTTTCTCTGCTAAATGCTTCATCATGCTTATACTGTGCCTATTATGACGTCATGTTTGACGTCATGTTTGTGTTTGTGTTGTGTTTGTGTACATCAACCGGGTATAGATTTACAACTGACCGGGTATAAGTAATCCACCACCTTCACGTGACAGACTTCGACCAATCGTAAGCCAGGATTTCATGGAAAAATCGACAGAGGTGGGGTAAATAATCATATGCCTCCAAATCAGCTGTTCATATAAATAAGTAAAGTTTCAGTCAGCAAACACATTGATTTTATTTTAGACCTTAGGTACACTGTAAAACAACTTTTATTCGCTTCAACTTTTATTCGTTATTTGTCAGTTTGAAATCGATCCGTGACAATTATTTTTCGTGACTGAGGATTTATTCCGTACAAATACAAAGCAAAATAAATGGTTCGCAGCAATGAATATTAGCAAGTGAAAGTAAGATAGCTGGATATAATTTTGACACTAATAATGCATGTACATAATTATGCTATATTTTTAAGGGAAATGAAGTCATTAACTTACAAGTTGTTGAGCTCCATTTTCATATCCCTGGTTTATACCAATGTAATTTGCTATCTGCAATTATAACAACATTTTGTGCACATACTGGGATAATATACTGGTACCTACAATTATCTGTAAGTTACTTTTTACTTGCAAGAACTTTATTTTCACATAAATAATGTGAATTAAATAGAGATATCAGACTTTAAATTTTATATACAAAGAAATTGAAGGTATTCTTTCGAAAGGTTATCAAAAAGTTCATAGACTGGTGCCTTAGAAGTAAAATTGGTCTCTGGTTAACGTACACTGATTCAATGGTGTACACATGTATTGAACATAATTTTATCAGAATTTATTACAGTAGAGCCTTTAACTGTTAATCCCTGTACATTTACCAATACAATCCAGATGCCTCACCTTTCAAAAAAATTTGTTGTAACTTGGAAACATAATTTACATATACAAATTAGAAAAGATCAATTTCAGTAATCCAGCCTATTCATTAATCCACTTGATTTGCTCATGAAGACAAGCATACAGATTAAGAGGGCTTAACTGTATAAGGTCTGGGTATATGATCATATGCCTCCAAATCAGCTGTTCATATAAACAAGTAAAGTTTCAGTCAGCAAACACATTGATTTTATTTTAGACCTTGGGTATACTGTAAAACAACTTTTATTCGCTTCAACTTTTATTCCTGATTTGTCAGTTTGAAATCGATCCGTGATGATTATTTTTCGTAATTAAGGATTTATTCCATACAAATACAAAGCAAAATAAATGGTTCGCGGCGATTAATATTTGCAAGTGAAAGTTGATTGCAAAACTTGCTAATATTTCTCGCATGCGAATAAAAGTTGGTTTACAATATCTCTTTAAGAATAATGTATTTAGTCAGAGAGACATAAACACTCAACAGTGACAGTACTGGATTACAAGATAACATCTTTTTTGTAGGATGATGAATGGGCAAACAAACATTTAGGTCTCAAGCTTAAATTTAAAAAGTGTTCTACGTTGATTGTTAAATTATGTTCCTTCTAAATTTTGTAAGCACAGTTTGCAAGGTGAATCCTTATGATACAATACCATAAACTTTTTGACAACTCCTGATTTTACTATATTTCAATACTGAGTAACTATTTTTGTAGATACACAGGATTTTGAAATGTCTGCTGTTAATATTACGGTGGTAACTCCTGAAAATGAAGAAGATGATTCGTATGTGGATGTGGAATCAGTGGATGTGGACATGGTTGAGGAAGTCTCCACGCCACGCTCCACTGATTTCCATCCACAGGTGGAGGAAGTATCTAGCACTGCTAACGTTTCACCGCGTAAAAATGAAGCTGATTTGACACCAGAGAGAGGCGCTCAGATTGAACAGAACAGGTGAGTTTTTGGATGTTAGTACAATAAAACACCCTCATTTATAATGAATTGATGCATTCTTTAAAAAAAATTCTTTACTGCTGGACATCAGGCAGCCAAACTGTTGGCATGAATGTAATAAGCATTGAGTCCTCTACCAAAATTGTAAAATTCATGGCCCCTGGGTTAGGAGTTCTGGTGTTAGGGTGGGGCTCTATTGATCTTTTAGTAAAAATTGCATTAAACCTTTGAAAACCTCTCTTCTGCTCCTGGGTATTATACTAATGATTTGAGTACATAGTTATGATAACCAAAGGTGCCTCTTCTAGAACTGTGAATTTCAAGGCCCCTGGGTCAGGGGTATCATGGGGATGGGGCTCTAATGATAATGTACTGAGAATGAATTAATGCTTTGAAATCTGATCTGTTGTATTAATCAAACATTTATGATGAGCAAGGGTGCCTTTTCCAAAATTGTTAAATATGTGGCTCCAGGGAGAGGGGCTCCTTTTGGGTGGGGGCACTACTGATTATGTATAGTGGAAATGTATTTTTTACATCGTTCCTTGGATCTACCTTGTGGTATTAATATCTGAGTAATCAATCTAAGCACATCAAGTCTATAGTTTTGATGAACAATGGTGCCTCTTTAAAAATTGTGAATTTCATGATTGCCTGTGGTTTATTACAGAAACCAAAGTCAATTGTTGGAAAAAATATGAACCATTGTACATGAATTTTGTGAAACACAGGTAAATCTATGTGAATTAGTGAAACACAGGTAAATCTGCAGTACATGTAATTGTCAAAAAGAAGCAGATTATATGAACTATATCAGAACACCGTAAAGTTGAATCAATACCTAAATTATAAAATATAAAAAAAGAGAAATAGAACAAACTTACTTCATATGTCTGATTCTTGGTAAATGGCTGTGTGGGAGAGGGTGGTAAATTCCCAATCTTATCTAATTATGGCCATATTAGTGTAAATTAATGATGAAATATTCGATGATTCTATAATAATGACTTGTTAATTTGGAATATCCAGGGGTTTTTATTTACAAAACGGGAAACACATTGGCATTAGTTGTTTCAGACAGTCACTTAATTAATATTGATAATTCTCATATAATGAACGTGATGTTGAGATTTTTTAGATAAAGGATCTGAAATGAGAGTTAGCATTAGCTGCCTTATTAATAAATTTGGTTGTTAAGAATAGTTTTCATACATTATGACATTTAAATGTTAAGAGCAGTTGGATTTGCTAATGTTCTGTTGTAATCATTCTATCTGTTGGTCTGTCTGTCTGTTGATCTTTCTGTATGTTGATTTGTTATTCTTTCATCCCAATAAATTTTGCCTTTGAGGGTTCAGACTCCAGGATTAATCTTATAAAATAATATTCCATCATTTAAGATGTGCTTTAGAAGTTTCTGTGTGTCATTCAGTAGGGAACTAAGATGCCTGTGGCCTTGTTCACAGGCCAGTTTTGTAATTTTATTTTGGCCATCATTAAAAATATTTTTGTTTGATAAACTGAGACTGACCGAAATTTTTCAAGGTCGGAAGATAAAGGTAGGTGTTTGATTTTTTTGTTGTACAGTATTGAACAAATAGATAATTGACATAAAAATTATATTAATGTATATAGTTTTCACAAACACTGAATAGTTACAAGGATTTTATATTCATTGCTACAACAATTTTCCATCAAAAAGCATCCTAGAGAACTTATATATTATACAGGTACAAGTTATATGTATCATTGATTACATGTTTTTGTGTTAATTGGCAGTCCTTACCAGGTGTCCCCAAGAGAATCTATACATTCTGACAATGACCAGGGAAGAATTCCCCCAAAAGAAAAGACAAAAACCAAGAAGAGCAAGAAAACAAAGAATGAGTCAGGTGAGCTTGTAAGTCCCTATGCCCTTTTTTGAAGCTTTACTGCTCATAAACATAAGTAAGAATTGTATAAGGATTGATAATTATTCATATAACAAAACTTTTCTTGTTGTATGGCACTACAAACAATGGTACAAGGTTTATAGAGGAATGTATGGGGAAATATTTTAGATTGTTTTTTAAAATCATAAACTTGGCTTTTCCTTAGTTTTCATTTGTTTCTATCAGTTCCTTAACAACACAAACATATAGATATTAACTCATGATATTTTAAAAATATTTTATTAAATCACTATGGCATTTCTTCATTCATGTGTATCTCGATTACTTTTATTGTAGAGGAATCACCCCCTGTTAGTGTTAGTAGTTGGAGAGAAGGCATGTTTTATTTGACAGAATTAGAAGGTCACAACGACCTAATTACAGATTCTGATATACAGGGTACCACACTGGTGACTGCAAGGTACAGATTCTTATTTTACCAGACTTTTAAAATTTTTCGTGCTTTTGGGAACAATTAATATTTTGGGAACTAATACACAAATACTGCCAATATTTCAGTATATATTTAAAACTTATTGCAAGTAAATTATTTTTTATTCTAATTACTGTAGTGTACTAGTATCCCTTGACTTATATGTATATAGATATTGTTTTAATATAATAGAATAATTTCACATATAGTACTAGTATCTTAGATAGGTTTAGAAATAAATCACTGATTGGGCATTATCTATTGTCAGTGTGTTTGTCTGTATTTGATAGTCGAGACACTACCATAAAGATGTGGAATTTGGAGGAGATGAGAGAAGTACGAAGTTTTGGTGGACACACAGGATCTGTTAACACTGTAGTTCTCCTATCAGCTGAGTCCACAGCTAAAATTTGTAAGTCTGTAGGATTTTTTGTTTTTAACTTATTTTATTGGCAACATGTCAAAGGGATTGGACACAAGTTCCAAAAACTTAGATAGTCCTCTCCCATATTATTTTTCAATTGTATCGTACAAGAATGGAAGTTCATAGTGTTTCCTGCAGTTGGAGATCTTGTTGTTTATTTGCTTGAGGGACAAGTGAGAATTATAGTTAATATTTATCCCTGTTTAAAATTATTTGTTTCCTTTGAATTAAAAAGCAAAAAATTGATCTAAATAGTTCACGTTTTGATCGTCATATTAGGTTTTTTAGTTTTATAATATGTTCTGTAACATCCAGGGTTCTCCATCATTTCAAATTTTACAATGGCGCAAGAAATGCTGGAAGTACTAATATTCGCGGTCATTTCATGACCAAATTCGCGAAGGAATCTCGAAATAAATTGAAAAATACAATAAACAGTTCAAATACAATTAGCATTAATTATTTTTGCAAAATGATTGATGAATTAGATATAAATAACAAAAAATTTATTTCGATATTTACATAGTGAAAAGCTCTCATCAGTATGTATCAGCGTATGAAGTTGAAAAAATATTATGAATGGTTTATTTAAAACTGACCTAAACACAATTTGATAAAAGTGAGGTCAAGGTCAAATGAAAGGTTAAGGTCAAAAATGTTGATGCAGCTGAATATATTGCTTACATCAGAATGTATTAGCTGCAATAATGTAGCCCTCTCCGATTTTTTTTATCTGATATTTTCTGGAGAGGGCTACAATTCCATCGCATCTCCGTAATGGTGCAAATATATTTTGTTGATACGGGTGATTGGAGGCAAAATAAATTATTTTTACACTAAACTTACTTCTTATAAGACGGAATTTTTATTCACTGTCAACAACATAGCCTGTTAAAACTCGAAAACCATGTAAAGTAAATCTGTGTCTTTCCCACCTGCAATATTCAGCAGCCATGACAGTTCACGCGTGACATAGTGAGACTTTCGCTTGAAATTTGGAACAACCAAATAAAGCAAATGTCGATGTTAATAAACGATTGTGCTATAATATATTACAAAAACATTAATAAATAAAACCATTTCAAGTGTTATTTTTGCGCAAACAGCGATACGTATGCTTAAAATAAGGGAATTCCTAGTAGATCCGCTCCTATAGAACCTAAATTCTCATTGGCTGTCCCAAAATACAATCCATCAAGGTCAGTAAACATGGCGGATAAATTCAAGTTTAGCTGTAGACACACACGAAAAATAACCGATATATGGATCGTTGTGAATATTTTTGGATCGATTTATGTTTTGCATAATTACATATTTGGATTCCAGGTAAGAGATGATAATAAAATAGCCGTTTACTGATAATTTGAGCCAAAATCCGTGCGGGAGTGATCCACTGCTGCATCTGCGCCATTGTAGAGATCCTAAGGAGTTGTAGCCCTCTCCCAAAAAAAAAAAAAAAAAAAAAATCGGAGAGGGCTACATTATTGCAGCTAGAATGTATCAGCATATGAAGTTTGACACTAATTTAGGATAAATTAAGGTCAAGGTAAAAGGAAAGATCAAGGTCAAAATGTTGATGCAGTTGAATAGCTCTTTTCAGTATGTATCAGTTAATGAAGTTTGATAAAAATATCTTGAATGGTTTCTTAAAAACTGAGCTAAACACTACTTTAAGAAAAGTATGGTAAAGGTCAAAGGAAGGGTCGAGATCAAAAATGTTGATGCAGTTGAATAGCTCTCTTCCGTATGTATCAGCATACACCCCTGTCCACGCGCGATCGGCAACGCGGTTGCGATCGGCAACGCAGATCAAAACATTGAAGAAGAAAGTATTGTAGGGGGTAAATTTAAATAGTTTTTTATGTGCTGGAGTGTATATAACCACCTGAAAATAAAATTAGCAAACATTTAGTTTAGATAATTATCTACAGTTTAGGATTTACCGAGAGTAAATTTGTTTCACAGTTTCTGTGCAAATGCTATATCAAATCGACATTGTTCAAAATATCAAATTTTCATGCTTTGAAATAGTTTATTGTTGTTATTACCTAAGAACATTTGCTGCTTTTGTTATGTAACGGTTCTTGGAAGTATGAACTAAATGATTTTAAAATTAAAACCACATACATTATCTTAAAACAAATTTTAACTGGAAAATTTGACAACCGCGAGGCGATCGTCAACGACATTATCTTTTTATGAAGCGATCGTACAACATAGAAATAGAGATCGTACAACACACGAAATAAGAATAGCACAAATCATAGAATTTTGTTGTCAAAAAGTTTATTTTCATATACAGTAGATATTTTACATTTAAATTAGGCAATCAGTCATTGTTATGTACCTTTTTAACTCTTAAAATTGTCCTACATCAATATAGAAAATTGAAATTAACTACGTAGATTAAAGAGATACAATTGAAAAAGAGTTTGATGGCTAACAAAAATGTAAAGTAGAAATTTTACCTAAATTTTCATAACAGTGTCAACCCCCCCCCCCCCCCCCCAAAAAAAAACCCCTTAAATATCTTGGATGGTTTATCATGCAAAGTGTAAGAAAAGGAACATTTTCTAAACTCAAAATTCAATTTCGGAAATGTGTTGTGTGGGATTGTTATGATTCAAGTTCTTGAACAACCAAATTTTATCCAAAAAATACCATCTGCCTTACCCGTATTTGACTATATACTGCAAAAGGGGGACAACCAGTCTATTGGTTTAGCCCCCCTCCCATTTCAAATTAGCCCCCCTTTAATTTGCTTCCGACGCCTATGAAAGTAAAGTTTTCACCCCACCCCATCCCCGATTCTTCAATGTACATGTACGTGCATGATATTAAAATCGGCAAGTAATTAGAAAAAATAATACTAATAATAATACCGGTAACAGTTTTCAGTAAATTAAAATATATCTTGAATACATAATGCTGTTATATTATTACGTGTGTGTAAAACACATTTTTACTGAAAACATTTACTGAAAATATTCGGTAAAGTTGCTACATGTAGGTATGCAAATTCCTTTGATCGTTATTTTTATAGTATTAATACATATCTTTTTTATTTTCTGGAAAAAAATACAGTTTTTGATATGTATGCCAACTCCTGTAATTGAACTGCCATATCATAGACACAGGTGATTGAGGACAGGAAACCCCCCATCCCCCATCCCAGTATAGACCCCCAGGCCTGTTAGAATTCTTTTACATAAATTATATATGAATGACACCTTTGTGATATAATCTATCCTATCAATTCAGAAAATTTGCTTAAACTTACATTTTAAAAAAATATCTACCCTCTCTATATATAAAAATTTTTATATAGAGAATGTAGGGTAAATTTAATAGAACATTTGTTTAAGGTAATTTTTCGATTTGCTGGTATAGATCTTATCATAAATGTGGCAATGAAAGATTTTTTATGAGAAAAAAATCGAAAAAGCCCAGGGATCTATATCGAAAGGGGGGGGGGGGGGGGGCCGGTCCTCAAGCACCTGTGATCATAGACAATAAAACCTTTTTTTTCTATATTGCTAAAATTAGGTCCTATAACACTCTGTAGGTATGTGTTTTAAACAATAATCAAATAATATCAAGTTTTAGGGTTCCATGGAGTTTTAAATTTTGTTCTCTTAAAATACAGACATTATTCAACTAATATACAAGAACGTCAGTTAAATTCGCTCTTTCTCTCTCGAAAATCAAATGTTTGGTATCTCGTTCTATTTCGACAGACTTTCCACCCATACAACATGGCTAACTATTACTTTATTTCATTAAAAGTATTTTATAAATTTCAAGTTGCACGATCGCATGTTTATCATATTTTCTTTGTTGTACGATCGCATATAGAGTCGTTGCCGATCGCCAAAACGTTTGGCATGTGTTCACTTCAAACCGTTATTTCAACGCTTTCTATTTGATGAAGAACTTCAAATCGGATTTAAAATTTATGATTTACGTATTTACAATGCAAATGTGCCTTTTGGACTGTCGGATATACGTAATAAGGTAAGAAATACCACTTAAGGACATTGGCAAGTCACGGTTTTCCGGAGAAAAAAGGTTTATATCATGGGTTTATTCACTTATAAAACTCTGATTGAGAGTGATCTCCCGTGTAGAATTCTCTATGAAATGAAAACCAACAAAGCGTATTTTACAGAGGTAAACAAAAGCACATGTGCTTCCTTCATCGGGTAGAATCATCTCTACAGCAAGAGAGAAAAACGGTGATTGTTTTGCTGTACATAGTGTTCAGGGACAGACAGTAAACAGTGGTCAACAGACCGTTATTTACCTTATACCCATGCTGGGAAGGACAATCACAAGATAAATGCCGAGAACCTGTAACTGAATGAGGTCGTGCGAAGGAGGCACCATTTACATGTTAGTAACTGTAAACAAATATAAAAGAAATCTATGTCAATATTTTTATGAAAATTTGTTTCCAATATGGTAAATTACTTAACATAAACAGTCAAACAGTCTTTACCATTATGAATACGAATTAGATTCTAAGGGAAGTAACTCTAAAATAATGAACAGTGTTGGTATATCTGTGGCATGTTTCTAAATTTGTGTTTTCAGTCATGATATCTAGATATGATTGGAAAGGAGGATACAATAATGTATATAATATGTACACTTTCTGAAATGACTGGATTTTGGAAAATTTTTATGGTAAAAAATTAAGTAGGTCCTTTTTATCAACATTTTACATAGGAAATGCATTGAGAGTTGTAAAAACATTGATTTGACAAAATCTAGTAAGGAAGGGTGGCTTGGTGGGTTAAATGTACCAGAATATAACATATTTATTATCATTACACCTGTTCAAGAGTTCTTAAAAAAATCTATACAAAAGCCAGAAACCTTGCCAATGTCCTTAAACGAGCTTTATGTGTCAGGTTAGGGCAGTCATGTTCAAGGAAAACTTAACTTTAACATAATATATGGTGATTTTTAATGCGTGTTGAACATGTCTAGTAGCATTTAAAAAGTCAGAAATGTTGAAGGATAACTGCGAGGAAATAGGACAAAATAATGTTTTATTTAACCTCATCTTCCTCATGTAGTTGAGTTTAGCTATCCGCGTTGCCGATCGCATCCGCGTTGCCGATTGCGCATTGACAGGGGTGGCATATGAAGTTTGATAACACTATCTTGAATGGTTTCTCAAAAAGTGAGCAATGCACTTATTTACGAAAAGTGAGGTCAAGGCTAAAAATGGTGATGCAGATGAATAGCTCTCATGAGTATGTTTCAACATGTGAAGTTTGATAACACAATCTTGAACGGTATGTTAAAAACTGAGCTAAAGACTAATTTAAGAAAAGTGAGGTCAAGGTCAAAGGAAAGGTCAAGTCAAAAAATGTTGATGCAGTTGAATAGCTCTCATCAGTATGTATCAGCTAATGAAGTTTTATAAAAATATCTTGGATGTTTTTTTTTTAAACTGAGCTAAACACTACTTTTAGAAAAGTGTGGTAAAGGTCAAAGGAAAGGTTGAGGTAAAAAATGTTGATGCAGTTGAATAACTCTCTTCAGTACGTGGCAGCATATGAAGTTTGATAACACTATCTTGAATGGTTTCTTAAAAAGTGAGCAATGCACTTATTTAAAAAAATTGAGGTCAAGGTCAAAGGAAAGGTCAAGGACAAAAAATGTTGATGCATTTGCATAGCTCTTATCATTATCTATCAGCATATGAAGTTTGATGAAAATATCTTGAATAGTTTCTTTGAAACTGAGCTTTGAACTGAGCTTAACGCAAAGTGTGACGGAAGGACAGATAGAAGGACAGAAGACGGACATGACAAACACTATATACCCCCTCCATATTTATGGCTGGGCATAAAAGTATTTCCACAATATATACTGTTAAAAAAACACCCTCCCAAACACACACACGTCCTAAATAAATAGATATTTGCATATAGAATCTGAAAAAAGTATCAGTAATAACAGATTTTAATTTAAAAAAGAAAATGTTTGCAAAAGGTAAATATACACATACAGTGGAGAACCCTAGTTACATTGTATTTAATTCTATCTATAATACACATCAGGTGAAGTAAGCGGACTTCCCCAGACAGAGGGTCGAATCATTATCAGTGGATCCACGGACTGTAGCTTTAAGCTGTGGTGCAGTGCCACAGGTAATTGTTCAGTAATTCTAGGAGAATATGTAATCGCATTGTGCTTAAAGTAAAAATTTTTTTATGAAAACTTTGTAAATAAAATAATACAATATACCTCTTGAAAAACAGATTGAAAGCTATGATGTATGTAGACATTTTTATGCCCCTGGATCAGGAGATCCCGAGGGTATATTATTTTTGTCCTGTCTGTCTGTTTGTCTTTTGTCAACTTTAACCTAACCCATAACTATTGGGCTGTCAGGGGTAAATGTACACCACTTCAGTCTACATCCCACTCCAGAATTGTGTTACCATCGGGGCATAGTGTTTCACAAATGCATCTTGCCTCATGATACCTTTTCTTGGTGTGTTTCAGCCTTGAGGGTATATTATTTTTGTCCTGTCTGTCTGTTGCACATAACTATTGGGCTGTCATATGTTATACTTTTTTCCAGAATTGTGTTACCATTAGGGGCATAGTGTTTCAAAAACACATCATGTTCATGTTTATATTTTTTATTGTTTTAGGGAAGATTCTACGATCCACCTACACATTTAGTCCTGTGACCAGAGTGGTATATCACCCCGTGGCTGAAGTCTTTATAACAGGCTCAGGTAATGCACTTTAAATTTAGTTTATGGAGTAGAATTAAGAATTACTTATTTCATGGTTCTTGGGAATAGCTTCAGAAGTAGTTGGGTTAAGTTATGATAGCTAGTACTTGGCACTGCAATGAATTACCTCTCTTTGGTTGGAAACATGTATTGAATTGATGTAGTCATTTTACATAAGTAATGTGTTAACATGCTTAAACCTTGTGAGATTGAATTGATAATTTATGATCTATTAGATTTTTGTTTGTAATTCATTCTTATGCATGTATGGAATAAAAAAACTCCTGAAATTTCATTATTTACATTCATTAATGAACTACCAATTTTTCATTTAGGAACTCTGTTCTTGGAAAAAAAAATTAAAGTTTTGCAAATCAACATACCGTATGTTAAAAGTTTTTTTACACACAAATTTATGGTAAGAAGGATCATAAGTTTTCAATCAGATTTAAAGGTGTTAAACTAAAAAAAAAATACTTTTGAGGTGACAGGAATTGAAGGCAGATGTACAAGATGATTTATGAATGACAAGCCCTAGTCACCTATCAAGTAGGTTCTTCTTTTAAAGTAGGAAATCAACTGAGGAAAGTACTTTTCGTACTTGTTTGAAAATCCTCATGGTTTTTCAAAGGTCAGGACTCAAGGGCCAGAAATTTTTAAATTCATTTTCTACCCGGAGAGCTAAAGAGAAAGCAAAGCAAATTGGCTCGAGATACCAGTCACCCAGAAACATGTTTTTACGTGTTATATCAAGCTATAATAGTACCAGTATTTAAATTTTTGTATAGTATATTGTCTGTAAAAATTGTTAGAAGTTAACTTGTCACAAGAAGTCCAATTGGTGCATAATGAAATAACATATATTTGTAGTACATTGAATTAAAAAATTTTCATTTTTGAAGAGAATTAATTATTGTAATTTTCAGTATCTTATGCCCAAATGTCTTGCACATCATCATGTATACACCTAATACAAAACTATTTGTAAAGGAAATTGAAAAAAAATGTTAACTTATTGTGCTAAAGCCTGAGATTTATTTGACCTCTTTGAATATACTTAGCATTTTTTTTTTCAGATAAAGAGTTAATGATATATTTGACCCCCCTTTGTTCTGTTATAGATGGGGGCAAACTAGAGATGTGGGACATACACAGTGGGAAGAGTGTGCAGAGTTTACATGCTTTTGAGGATAGTGTGTCAGCATTGCAGGTAAACAGTTGATTATGATTTATTATTTTATTGTTAGTTCCAGTTAAAATGATTTTAATATAAGCAGGTTAACCGTATATTTGTGTATTATCTCATAAAGCAGTAGAAAGGAAGTACTATATTTTTTTGGTGTCTGTGCAGTCAACTTTCAGCTTGAACAGGATGACAAGGAATGCTGGCATTTACTCTTTGAGCTATATGGCCATGGCAAAAAATGTAAAGTTGATTATTTTGTTTTCACAAAGAAAGTTGAAATAAATTCTAAAGACCAAAAGGAGATTTATTGTAAAACTCTTTGATGCACATTTATGTGGTGCTTCTTCATGAAAGGAAAGCCCTGGGTTCAAACCCCAGCCAGTACTGAATAAGTTGACAAAAAATAGGTAGCAACTGTACGTTCCTTCACCAAGTGTTCGGCACTTTGATGTGAAAGTTGCTGGTCCTCAGATAAGATCTTGGAAGACCAAGGCCCCGTGTCACATTAGGCAAAGGCATAAGATCCCTCACTGCTCACAGACCAAAGAGTGTCAGTAAGTTAAGGTCTAAATATGTTGCCCTTCACAAGATTATGGTGACGTCTCCATATGATTAAAATATTCTTGAATGGGACGTACAACAATATACAAAAAAGTCATTATGTGTGGTGCATTGAGAAGTTGAGTTTTTACTCAGAACCACGCATATAATGTATTCTGTATAGACTGTAGACAGGGTTGTATATACCTAGTGTGCATTTACCCGCTGGTAAATCCCAAGTATACATGTAGATCATTTTCAATCACAACCTCTCGTAAACTACATGTATTTCTCTATGTGTCCTCATTTCTTTGCATGTCAGTAGGGTAAATGTTAACATTTTCAAAATCATATAAATTTGTCCTGGTTATTTATTAATCCACTTTATTGTAAAATGTGAGTGGCCTTTGTGTAAGAAGAACAATAAGTTTTTCTTATCACATAATATGACAGTAATTAGGTCGATGACATGCTAACCATTATTCCCTGCAAGTGTTTAATCAGTAAGACACGTCCAATTAGACATTGTGCGAAGTGATTTGTTCTGTCAAGTGACGTCATTTTACATGTTCTGCCTTTTGAACTTCTCTGTTGGCATTTTCATTAACACATATTACAGACTGGTATTTCCATCGTTGCCTTTATGATTTTAATATCCACCTCACCTGAGACTTTCAAGTGCAAATTTTCTTAATGATCCAATCAAGAATATAACTGCAAAATGTCAAATAAAAGGGGTAGGCTTATAATGACAGGAATTACATTTAAATAGCATCTACATGCTTGACCCTACTTATTAAGTGTAAAGAGGATTCTTTACATAAATCTTTTATGTTTGACCCTTATAACTAATACAAGACTCAGAATGTAGTGTCAATTCACATTCGGATGATGTACATCTCTATTTCTTCCAATGTATATCGCTATTTTAGAGCTGCTTACTTCATATACAGGATGTTTTTTTGATGACTCATCTGTAAAGTTACATTTATTTGCAGTTCATGTTAATGAAACTTGAATATTACACATTTCTTTCAAGTGTTTCTTTTGCATTACATAAGATTCTGGACTATCTTTATTTTTTTTCTATCATTTTTGTTTCTTGGCCATCTTACTGGATGCTTATTACAAACTGCAGTAGGCAGAGCCACTAACTTAATTCATCTTTCATTAGGTTTTCAACGATCTTCAGCCACAAATATAGACAAGACATGCTCCTACCAAAAAAGAAGTACAATATGTACATATAGTGGTTGATATTAACCTATATTTTCAGAAGGGATTATAATTACTAATACTGTATAGGTCCTAAAAGTGAGGGCCTGTAGATGTGAAGTTTCTTATTGAATTAAAATCTATTTATAATAACTATACATATTTCATTTTTCTCACTTTCTTTGCTTCTGGCTTCTTTGATTTATCAACCAATCAGCTTTGATAAGGTTGACAAATAAGGCCAAAAAGAAAATTAGCTTTATTTTGCGTTGCCGTCCGGCTCAAGTAAATCGTTGCAGTCTGAATAATTTTTTTCAACAGATACAGATCATAATTTTTTAGCTCTACTGGTCAGAGACCAGAAGAGCTTATGCGATAGTAATGCGTCCGTCCGTCTGTCTGTAAACAATTTTTCAAAATGCTACTCCTCCTACTCGGATTTCAATATAACTTGGCACACAAGTAGACTACACTAAGATACATAATTCTGTGCATCAGTTTTTGTTTTTGATGAACGGTGTTGCCGAGGTTACTAAAAATAGAAATTTCTTTTAAATTCTTTCAAAATGTTACTCCTCCTACAGTTTTGGTTTTCTTTCAATGTAACTTGGCACACAAGTAGACTACACTAAGATACATAATTCGGTTTTTGATTTTGATGAACGGTGTTGCCAAGGTTACTAAAAATAGAAATTTCTGTGAAATTCTTTCAAAATGCTATTCCTCCTACAGTTTTGGTCCGTTTCAATATAACTTGGCACACAAGTAGACTACAATAAGATACATAATTCTGTGCATTGGTTTTTGATTTTGATGAACGATGTTGCCATGGTCACTAAAAATAGAAATTTCTTTGAAAGTCTTTCAAAATGCTACTCCTCCTACAGTTTTGGTCTGATTTCAATATAACTTGGCACACAAGTAGTCTACACTAAGATACATAATTCTGTGCATCGGTTTTTGATTTCGATGAACGGTGTTGCTGTGGTTACTAAAGATAGAAATTTCTGTGAAATTCTTTCAAAATGCTACTCCTTCTACTGTTTTGGCCTGATTTCAACATAACTTGGCACACAAGTAGACTACACTGAGATACATAATTCTCTGCATCGGTTTTTGCTTTGATGAGTGGCAAGGATCATTTTTCTATTTATTGCTGTTTTTAAAGTTTCAAGTCGCAACTGCTACTTTTCCTTTGTTTTAAGTGTAAACCAGTAGAGCTACAGTCTCGACAGAGACTTCTGGTTTTTCATTATATTTATCTGGATCTAGGTGTCTGTACGTTTGAGTAATATACAAAATGAGAAAGAATCTTATAAGCGCTTGATTGATTGAACAGTTTTCATTTAAAAGCGTCTATGTGATGTTGAATAAATCCAAGCATGATGGCTGTTGAAAGCGGATTTAATGTAAACTTGGTATATAACAGAAGATGATGGCATGACTCTCTGCGGTTATGTGTTTTAAAATGCCAAAACTTTACTGACAAATCAGTTATACCAGTTTGAAAGAGAAATTTCAAGGTAGTACTACAATGTCCTATCTGATTTGCTAGATGAATCTAGCAGCCATGCTTGGATTCGTACATTTATAATGTTGGTGATTTTTTATACCATGTATAAAAATGTTTAAAACTAATAGGGTTTAGAAAGAAATAACAACTGGGAATCAATTCGGACTGCTGTTGTTGTTAAACAATCGGAAACCCATAAGACACCTGGATACGAACAACATTTTTGAAATTGAAAAAAATATTTCCCCTACCTACCGACCCAAAGGTATTGAGACTGAGTCGGCAACGCCAAAGCAACAATATTCAAATTGTGGTCTATTTAGCCAGGGCATTGCTTATTGATGATTGGAATAAAAAGTGAAAAGTATCACCTTACTGCATTGATTCCCAATTGTATGTTTTCAAATGGATTACTAGTATCTACATTATGTTAAGTCAGAGTAGGACATCTATAGATTAGTCACCCTCTTATTTCAAAAATATTGATAGTCTTCAAAGTATGTATAATTTATAACAGGTACAGCATGCAATTTGATCTGTTTAGAATTCATAATACAATATAAAACCTGGGGGGAAAAAATTCTCCCAAAAATTGCACCATCCAAAGCATGATGAAAATTTAGGTCACCATCAGCATCTGTATCATGCTGTACATATTGGGGTCTATATCGATTTCAAATTTCTTTTTAAGCAGCTTTCTGGATCAAATTAAATGAATGTCAAATGCTTTTCTGATGCTTTTATCCCAGAACCCAGATGTATTATGTGTGCAAGATGTCTCTCATAGTGACCTTTTCTGATATCTAGACTATTTGATAATAGACAATGGCATTGAGAAAGGTGTTAATCAGGTACAATATATAGTGTTGATATATAGTAAAATCACATTGGATTAGAAGAGATGATGGGAAAAGATATTTCTTAGAGTTCACTGGAATCATTTAAGTGATTTAGGCCAAATGATTAATAATGTCTGCACGTTCTAAGAAGGGTCTGGTTGGTGTACCTTTGGCTCCCCTGACCCAGTTCCTTAGTCTGGCTCCTGAGACCCACTGTCTTACATTTGAGACAGCTTTGTTGGTTCCTCTGACCTACTTTCTTAATTTTGAGAAAACTTTGGTGGCTCATGAGACCCAATTAGTTTTGAGACATTTTTGATGGTACTTCTGATCTATTTTCTTAGTTCTGAGACAATTTTGGTGGATCCTCTGACCCACTTTCTTAGTCTTAATTAAGACAACTTTGGTGGCCCCTCTAATGCACTTTCTTTGTTTTGATACAATTTTGATGTCTCTTCTGACCCACTCCCTTTGCTATTCTTTCCTTTTATACTACAGTAAAGTTTGAAGTTTATTTGATAGGCTTTGTTACAATTTTGTACCACAAAATACTGTATGTGTACTTTCAATAGCAGGCTTCATATTTTAGTGGCTTTGGCGCAGACAACAATGCGCTAATTCATGAATACAGTAAAGAAATCATTTTTACATACAATACACTAAACGGACATGTGTAGCCCTAATTCATGATTACGCCAACAACTCCATACCAAGTGATTACGCTAAATTTTGAATACGCCAAATTATGTACATGTACAGTATAAGATTGGCATGGTTTCTAATTTTCAAACTGTCAGTTTTATTTTATTAAGTTAAATTAGAAGCGGGGTGGGGTGGGAGCATGGGGTGTAAGCTATCTCAGGTGAAGGTGACTGATAAAACTCACAGCTAGGTCTCTTCTCCTTTACTTATGTATTATTCAGTTGAAAAAAGATCATTTTTAGCTACCTCAACGAAATTGGGGGGAGCTTATGTGATACCCTTAGCTTCTGTGTTGGCGTCCCAAGTAAAGGCTTTTGGTGCAGTTTTCTTTTTAATTACTTCTATGCCTTTCATTGATCAGAGATGCATGCAAGATGCTTCTAATGTGTTTCGATGTGTCAGTTTCAGATGCTGCAATTTCAGCTAAAAAAATGAGGAAGTTAATGTTTTTGGAGCAGGTTCAAGTTTTTGGTGCACATTTGAGTTTTTGGTACAGGTCTTATTTTTGAGTATAACTATAAGTCCTATATTGACCAAACTTGACTGGGTGATACATCTAAGAATGCATACTACCAGGCTGGCTTCAGATGCTGGATCTGAGCTACATTTTCTGAATGAGTGAACAGGTTAAAGTTTTTGGTGCATGTCTCATTTCCAAGTAACTATAAGACTTATGTTGACCAAACTTGCGTGAAGGATATATCCATAAGGATGCATACTACCAGCTGGCTTCAGATGCTGAATCTGACCTACATTTTCAGGATAGTGAACAGGTTAAAGTGTTTGGTGCAGGTCTTATTTCTGAGGAATTATTTAGCCCAATGTTAGCCAATACATCTACGGATGCATACTACCAGGCATTTTTCAAATAAGTGAACAGGTTCAAGTTTTTGGAGCAGGTTCATTCTAAAGTAACTATAAGCCATACTATGTTGACCAAACTTTTATTTATGATGCATCTAAGAATGCACACTTTCAGGCTTGCATTTAGATTTTCCAGATGAGTGATCTTGAGATGTACACTTCTAGATTATTAGTTTAATGTGGGACTTTGCCTTACTCAAAGACAAACATTCTTTGTGGTGAGCTCTGTAATCTCTGATTACCTATGTTTTAAACAACAAACTGTTTAATATATGGTTTTTTTTTATAAATCTTCAGGTTAATGACATCTGTCTGTATGCTGCATCAGTGGAGGGACTCATCAAAGTATACGAGATCAGGGACAAGCATTTTATCTGCGTCTTTGAATCTGGCAACGTAAGGTCAACAGACGGATCGTACCTGTGTTGTCGTGGAATCAGAGGAATGGCCGTCAGGGATGATGTCATCTACTATGGTGATGATGGGACCAATGTTAAAGCTCTGTCCTGGAAATCAGGTACTTCTACTCATGAAAACTGTCTACTGATATAGCTGGCTATTCCTGTTAAAATTATCAAAATATGCTTTGCTTGTTTGTGTGTCTGTTTATTGTCCCTTCCAGAATTTTATAATTATTATTGAAATGCCACCAATTACCGATGGATGGCTGAAAATCAAGATCTTTACTTGGTATTTAGAGAATTTGAGGAATGAGGGATCTTTTATGTGCCAGTACCTTCTGCAACTTCTGTTTATACAATCACTTTTATCTGAAGGACCAGTATTTATAACTCGTAGTGGGATTTAAACCTGCGATATAAGGATAAACCCCTTACTCTGCAACTAGAGAGCAAAAGCTCTAAACACTGTGCCAGACATGCCACTGTAAATCAAGTATTTCAGAATGCTAGTTGTTTTAATTATCCCAACTCAATCTGAAGAAGGAAATCATGAAATAAAAAGTTGATTAGTTGGAATGTCTTGGGGGAACAAATTAACAATTTCATATTCAATTTCTGTCCTTGTTTTTAATATTTTATAAGAGAGTGTGTAGCCAAGGTAAGTGATAATTTTTTGAAGTATAAATTAATCTTTCAGGTACATGTATAATAAAAATGTTCTTTAATTTACATTAATTTTTATTCAATCATTTACCCTAGAAATAAGAACATTTCTATTTGCTAAAGATATGAAAAACATTTTCCAATATTAGCACAAATTGTCTTTGGCATGGCATTTAAATGTGAAGAAAGGCTTGAGTTTTTCCTAGGTGTGTCCATTAATGATACATGTAAATGATATTTACATCGAAAAAATTGAAATCTCTAATATATTTTTTGGAGAATAGATCTTAATTCTGAATCTATTTTGTCCAAAAAAAAAATTCTGTGTGTTGAAGTACAAGAAGCTAGATAACTTAATTAAAAAACAAATACTCCAATTGATATGAGAATTGGTAACCAAAAAGCTTTTCTTTCTTGGAAAATAACACAGTATATACTGTATACAGGGAAATTTTCACCCCCATTTTATTTTCGCCCCTTTTGCCCAGCTATCATTTGGGCGAATTTAAAATGGGGCGAATTCAAAGAATACAGTATAATTTCTTAAACTAAACTATATTATGACTGTTCGAATTTTAAACGGGGCAAAATTGTTTGCAAGTGTGAAAGGGTGAAAATAAGACGGGGCGAAAATAACCCTGTATACAGTATGTACTTACAAAAAGTGGGCTTCATATTTTAGCGGCTGTGGTGCAGACAGTGATGTGCTAATTCATAGATTACCAGGCCTAGAATAAAAATTTGTTTGTTTGCAGTCGCTTACCGACCCACTTAAAATGCACCCGACCCAAACTTTTTTTTTTTTAGCTATTTTGTAAAAATTATTTTTTCTTCAATTTTTCAGGATATTGAAAATGTTTCATTTTCAATTGTTGACTTTTGTTTTTATCAATCAGTGGTTTATAAAAAGAGTGAAGCTTATTCATGTTAAGAAGGCTATGAAAAACTCTGTAATTTGTTATCTAACAATAATCAGAAAACAATTTTTTTTTTCAAAAAAAACAAGTATATACTGACAAAACGTCAGAGATACTCAAGCTGTAGAAAGTCAACTAGGTAGTGTCATTAATATCCTATATATAATGGTATAAGATGAGTGCTGTTGGGTTCAATCTTCTGTTGAATAAATACATGTACATGAAACAAAATTCATATGTCGAATTTAATTAGAAAAAAGATAATTAATTGTACTGCTTTTTAAGATGAATTTACGTTACTCACTTTCAGAAATATTTTATAGAGCATAGTGGCCATTTCTTAATTTAATTTAATATTTTTTTTAATATTGATATACTTCAAACTATATATACCTTTTTTTGTTTTTCGTTTTTTGTTTTGTTTTGTTTGTATGTTTTTTTTTTTTATTTGCTTAATGAAGTACATCAATCATAATTTAATATAAAATCCAAATAGCTTGTTACAAGTTACAGGTAGAAACGTTTTTCAAACTGGATTGGGGGAGGGGGGATAAAAAATTTGAGTACGCCTGGTTCATCTAGCTGTGCATATATACATATTTACGATATGTGGGTTCCGTTACCAAAGCTGAAGATAACTAGTACGATTTTTTGAAATAAAAAAAACACACGAGGGAGAATTTAACAATAATGTTGTGCTATTATTTTACTGTCACTCAAAGTGCATATGCACATCATTCTCAGGCCCGTGAGAAGCAATTTCAAAATGGGGGGTACAACCATACGTTTTCTGGCCATACATAGTAGAATTTGTAAAACGATGCGTCACCTTTCAGAGTAAACAGTGGACTCGTCTAAAGATGCTTTGTCGGCGTCTGTAAAAGTTAAGATTCCTACGCAAAGGAAAGCGCGAAACTGTATAGAAATTTTTTGTTCATTCGCCATAGAAAAGAATCCGACATTTAACGTTTAATATCTTTGAATATACAGACTTTTTCAAGATAAGCTTCATTTTTGTTTCTAGAAATATTTTTATCTACAAAAATAATATCTTTCCGTGTATTTTAACTGTGTAAATCGATGACCTAGCATCGTTTTAGATAACTCAAGCCCCTCTAGGGCTTGAGTAAAAAAAGAATGCCTACCTACCCAGTCTAAAAATTATAGGTTGGCAACTGCAAACAAAGAATTTTTTAAGCTTGGCCCCATTAATAAATGAAAACGATATGATGTTTTTTCATTTACTTGCTTTGAGCTGCCATTTTATCAGGCCTTGAACACCGAGCCAGATTTATTCATCTATTTCAGTGGGGGTGGCCACAATTGGGGATCAAAGTTTAACATAGGAATGCATAGGAAAAATCTTTAAAAATCTTCTTCTCAGGAACAGCAAAGTCATGACTTGTACCGGTAATAGTTATATGAAGGCAAGTTTGTTCAAATTATGACCCAAGGGGGTTTGGTGGGGCAACAATGGGGTATCAAAGTTGAACAAAGCAATGCATAGAAAACCTCTATAAAAATCTTTTCTCAAGAACAGCAAACCCATAGTTATATAGAAGCATCCTTAGGTAGTGTAGATTCAAGTTGTTAAAATCATGACCCCTGGGGCAAGGGTGGGGCCATAATGGGTGATCAAAGTTTTAAGAAGGATGACAGAGAAATTTTTTTGAAATTCTTCTTTTTCTAGAGCACAGCAAAGCTGTGATTGTTCATATTAACATGGAAGCATAGATTCAAGTTTGTTCAAAACTTGATCCCCAGGGTAGAGTGGGGTCACAATGGGTGATCAAGGTTTTACGTAGAAATACATAGGAAAAATTGTTAAGATTCTCCACAAGAACCATAAAACCATGATTGATCATCAAAATAAAAGTATAAAAAAGTATAAATTTAAGTTTGTTCAAATCTCCCCACCCACCCTGAACCCGCTTTTATATTTAAACTTTTCAATACTCAATGGATTTTTGCTTTTACCTAGCTTAGTTGCTCAGGTGAGCAATGTGGCACCTGGGCCTCTTGTTGTCATATAGAATTTATTCAACATACTTTTGTTGGATGCTTGGAGAAGGCATTAATAAATATAAACATTAAAAATTAGTTAACAAAAAATTAGCAAAACCCCTAGGGTAGAAATAATAAGACTCCTCATTAAAAAACTTTTATATTAAATCTAAGCTTTTTCTAAAGCAAGTAGGCCTTTAGTCACTAATAAAAGATTATCTTGATAAAAAATTTGAAAATGTAAGCTCTGAATTGACAAAAACCTGGTGTGATTTATATTTGTTTGTCAATTGCATTAAAATAAACTAAGGATGTCATAACACAAGGGTATTAACTTAAGACTCGTAACCAATAGATTCCACGGAAAATGTAAATGCTAAAATAAATTGTATCGATCCTTCACCTTCTAATAATGTAAAAAATTAACAACCTCTAACAAGGATAAAATTAACCACCCCCTTTCATCAGATGTGGAAATTCCTATAGTGAAATGATTTAAAACAAAATGACGTATTTTTCTCTTTGCCAAAGTTCATTCCTACCTAAGTCACTTAATTGTTTTAACCTCATTATAGACATAAAGTAATTTGTTCATGCCATCAAAAACTAAACTATTGGTCAACTGTTTTTGGTTTGATAAGGATATATGCTTTTTTCAGCATCAGTAATATAAATGTTGCATTTTAGGAGAATTAATTGTTGACTTTGATTAATAGAGGGAGCATGTATATATTTTAAATTAATCAGTGTGCTACAAATGGATACCAAAATATATGCTTAGTCCTCTGATTTTCATCAGTATTAGGAAATTTCCATGCACACAGAACTACTCCATATAATGTGCTTTATCCTCCTGGTTCTGGTCAGCACAAAAGGCTGACACCAGAGACTTACAAGTTTGCCTATCTAGTGTCCATCTCTAGACCTGCACCATAACCATTAATTGTCCTGTTTTATTATTTTTCATTCTACTTACTGCATACCATGTGTTCATCATATAATTCATCACAAATTGCTAGTTTTAAAACATCAAATCAAAATATTAAAAGTGCTCACTTTTAATTTGCCCATTTGTGATAAGAGCAAAGGTGGCAAAAGGGGCAAAAATAAAACAAGGGCAAAAATTTTCATGTTTTAATACATGTAAGTGTTTGATTTATATATATATATATAATTTAAAAACTTCACTAACTAAAGGTGAAATAATCATAATTTTCTGCTTGTATGTGTACTTAAAACCTCTGATTGTAGGTGTAAATAGCATTAGCAGTATAATTAACAGGGATAGGAAGGAAATTCCGCAGGATTTCACACCTGTAGATGTTTACCCATTCCAGTACCACATAAAAACTATCCATGGTGCAATGACGTTGTACGTTTTTCATTATTGGTTATTTTAAGTTTTATCTATTTTAATCTTTAAAGATAATCATGTCAATTATCACATAATGATACAAAGATGTAGCCTAAGGATGTCTTCATTGTTGGCCAGGACACAAATTAAAACAAATGTCATTCACTACTATATAGGT